CCAAAATCAATAATAAATACATAAACAGGCCAAACAATGGCGCAAAAGGAGAAAGACAGAGAAACCAATACAGCGATGAGATATGGAATACTCTTCAAATTAAGTGCAAAAACTAATAAATTTAACTAAAATGCACTTGAAAAATAAATAACATTAAAATAACCACTAAATCTAAAAATTCAAATAAATGTAATTTTATTTGTTTCGAAAGATTTTTATGGACATATTAATAGGTTTTTAAAATCACTTATAAATAAGCACAAACTTAAACATTTATTTAAAAAATAGAATATAACATTATTTGAGGCGTTTTAAATTAAGTTTGAAAATCATAAAGAAATATATTTATAATTTATGTCTCTCACGTTTGTGCAGTTTAAATTCCCTCTCAAATTTTGGCAAGCCAAGCAGTGCAATAAATAATACAGCGTTTTATCAGAGTCATCATAATCGTTGAATTGCGTGGGAAAGCTCCCCAGACCCACCACATTTCCACCACAAATAAGGATAATAAGCCAGCAATTAGTGTCACCGGTAGACTCGCTGAAGCCTCAAACAGAAACATGGCCCAAAGCCAAAGGCAAGGCAGGCCTTCAACCCATTTAAAGCAATTTTCTCTGGGTTGGAAAAAGAGTAATAACAAAAAAAAAAAGGTTAAGCGAGGCGCTCGCACAGACGCAAATCTATTATCCTACATCCTTTTTAGATCCTACGGCAGAAATTGAAAAAAAGAGGGGAAGGAAGAAAAGTTGCAAGGACAAATCGCAATTCCAGTTTTATGAATATTTTCTATTTGCCTATGGAAAACTGCTGAATGGTCCTCACTTTATCAAGACCTCTTTTGTAACTCATCCCCACCGGCGGTCGTGCAATCAATTCAATGGCTAGAGGTGGAAGAAACTTTCTTAATACAAGATACTTAAAGGACTCGCACACGGTCACAGACAGAGGCGGAGTCCGACATTCAATTGCCACCTTTCGGTGGCTGAAGGATATGCCATTTATTATGTGTGCCTGTGTGTGCGCGTGAGTCCTGGCAAACTCAAACCGAAAGACTTAAGTGAATTAAGAGGAAAACTTGCTACATTTCTAAGACAGCGCCAGACCACCAAGACCGTCCTCCATCAAGGTTAGCCCACTTAATGAGCTCTTGAAGTGTTCAAGTTTGAGTTTGCTAAATACATATATACGAGCATGAACAAAAAAGGATTATTTGATATGGCAGCCCCGCCTCCCATTAACGATTTCCTTTTGACTGGACACCTGTGTCTTAATCCCCTCCCTCGTAGGCTCCAGGATTGATTGTTATGCCACCGAAAACTAAAGGCAGTAAGGGCTCGGCTCATTCTCATTTCGAATCGACTTGGGTTTGCTTTAGTTTGGTTTGCCAGCCAAAAAAAATTGTGAATGGTGCGTTCTGGGAATGTCAGGGGGTGTGACCCACACCTTGATATACCATAAAACAATTATTGGAATTTCTTTCTTTCGCCTTTCCTTTCCTTTGGGTAGGGTTGTGTTTTTTGGGCTCAGTTTATGATGGCTGTAATTAAAGTTTGGGAATGGGAACAGGGTCACGTAACCGCCAATCGATAGCATATCAGCATAGAAATGACAATAAACTATCTTAATAAGGGGTGCCACAGAAATTTATTTGGTTATGAAACTGCTTTTAGTATATACTATGACTACCATTGATTCCTAATTCATATTTTTGATATTTTGATCGGTATTTCGAATGAGTTTAATGTTTACTAAATTTACAAATAACTAACCCTGTTAATAAATTGCAAGTATCTCTTTATAAGTCGTTAAGAATTTATCCTACATTATAAAATAATGGATTTAACGCTGACCTACCTTGACCCATTAAGATAGTTTGCCTTATCTTTTTCACTTAAGCCATTATTAACAACAAAATGTCAACAAAAAATTCGAGTAAGATATTAATAACCTAAAAAACACATTCGTGGTTGACACTTGCCGGCGACATGGGCTGAGTAATAACTATTTAATGAGTTTGTGTCACAGCTCGGTGTTGGGGAGACCAAAGTAACTTGGCCGTGAACCAAGTGCCAACTGCCGTCATCGGGAAAACATTTCCATCCACTGACGCCATTTAATTAAAATTTGCGCCTAATTAATTGCCAAAAAACGGAAGCGCACAGCCTGACAGGACATACTAGGGTGTACGCGGCGTATGAGTGATGTTTGCCTATTTGCATTTGCTGTTGTTTGATTGGGGCTCAGCACACTAATTGAAAATCAAAATTTGATTTTTCGTATATTCATGATCGGCCGTTTTATTGTGCAGTTTGCATGATTGATTTCTACGGCTAAATATCTCGCAATTATGCACGGAAATATTATTATTATTCGGCCACCTCTTATTGGGCAGCCGAAAAGTATGCAGTACTTTTGTTGGTTTTCGATTTTTTTGGTTCGTTGCCTTTATTTTTACTCTGCATAATTGATGGCTGAGCTTTTAATTGAAACTGAATTGTGGTTATTATGGGTGTAACGCGAAGAAGGGGGCGGTTCTGGGAAAAAATTTATGCAAATTAAGACTGCACCGAGGGCGGTCGCAATTAAAGAGAAAATTGCAGCGAGAAAAGCGGAGAAAAAGAATAAAAGTGCTGTAATTGAAGAGCGTTTGAAGGGTGCGAGTGCCGAACGCTGCTTGAGATAGCAACGGAAAGGGCGTCCTTGAAGACTTGAAGATTTTTTTTATGCCCGGATTTGCTAGTCGATTGGAGATTCTTTAATTATTTGGAGAAAATAACACTGCCGAAACTAGGATGGCCCGAACTTTGCAATTTATTTTATAGAGACTATCCTAAAGAAAATTGTAATTTTCAATAGCTTAGAGGCTTAGGAGAAAATTATTGGTAAACTTTCTGTTAGAAGCACTATGTAAAACAAACATAAACACGCAATTAGAGAAAGAACTTAACATATTTATACCCGTTACTCGTAGAGTAAAAGGGTATATTGTAATCGTGCAAAAGTATGTAACAGGTAGAAGGAAGCGTTTCCGACCCTATAAAGTATATATATTCTTGTTCAGGATCACTAGCCGAGTCGATCTAGCCATGTCCGTCTGTCCGTCTGTCTGTCCGTCCGTATGAACGCTGAGATCTCGGAAACTATAAAAGCTAGAAGATTGGAATTTTGCATGTAGATTTTAGGAGTTCCTACGCAGCGCAAGTTTGTTTCAAAATGGTGCCACGCCCCTCTGACGCCCACAAGCCACAAGCTGTGGCCACAGTTTTGATGCTATTATGAAAATTTTAATTGATATGTATTTGTTTCGTCAATACCTATCGATTGGCCTAATAAAAGTTTGCCACGCCCACTCTAACGCCCAAAAACCCATTAAACGCTTAAGACTGGCTAGCGCCTACATTTCCGCCTTTCATGGCCCGTGGCAGCGCCATCTAACGGATGATTTTGGAACAGCTGGCCAAGGTGCTCAACAGAGTTAACGTTAATTCTCGATAAGGATTTCTATTAAAGGAAACGGAGTAACGGGTATCTAATAGTCGAGGCACTCGACTAAAGCGTTCTCTCTTGTTTTATGTTATCTTTTAACTTAAATACAGTCTGCAGGATTTTTAGTTCAGAGATGGTACAAATAACAATATTATTCAGACAAACACTATTTAGCTGGAGGCATACAAATGAGGATTTTAAGATTGTAGCCAATTTACAAGGTAATAATCTATAAATAAGGAGATATATACGTATTAAACGATATATTTTCAAATTAATAATCGATCGACGTTTGGATATTTTTATACCCTTGCAGAGGGTATTATAATTTCAGTCAAAAGTTTGCAACGCAGTGAAGGAGACATTTCCGACCCTATAAAGTATATATATTCTTGATCAGGATCACCTCCTGAGTTGATATAGCCATGTCCGTCTGTCCGTCTGTCCGTCCGTCCGTTTCTACGCAAACTAGTCCCTCAGTTTTAAAGCTATCTGCTTGAAACTTTCCCAAAAGTTGTCTTTCTATTGCAGGTAGTATATAAGTCGGAACGAGCCGGATCGGGCGACTATATCATATAGCTGCCATATAACTGAACGATCGGAAAAGCCATAACGTTGGTGTTTTTAAAGTTAGGAAGTTGGAATTTTCTATAAGTTTTATTTTTGGCCAATTAATCCGACCTACCAAATTTCATAAGGATCGGACGACTATATCCTATAGCCACCATATAACTGATTGATCGGAAATGCCATAACTTGGGTGTTTGTAAAGTTAGGAAGTTGGAATTTTCTATGGGTTTAATTTTTGGCCAATCAATCTGACCTACCAAATTTCATAAGGATCGGCCGACTATATCCTATAGCTGCCATATTACTGAACGATTGGAAACGCCATAACTTTGGTGTTTTTAAAGTTAGGAAGTTGGGACTTTTTATGAGTATTAAGAATACATCATATGAATAATTTTAAAGAATATAATTTACAGAATATTCTGCAAGGGTATATCAACTTCGGCTCCGGCCGAAGTTAGCTTTTCTTCTTGTTTTAAGGCAAATTTAAACATGAATCTTGTTTAAAACCTTTAAGAGTCTTTTATTACTTTGACTACATTTCCCTAGCACTCCAGCTTATCTTCTGACTATTAAATATAATAAAAATAAGAAAATATTATCTTTAAGAATTAATCAATCGCCGCTTTTTATATAATTCATATCTGTTCACTTTTGAATTAAATATACTTGTTCCGAAAAACACAGTTTCCTTTTTGCGACAAGCACTATGTAATAAATATGACAAGAGAGACCAAAAATAATGGCTGAGATAAAGAAACTACTTTATCCTTGTGACAAGTTTTCAACTTTATATGTAGCACACTTTTGCGGGCCGAGGCATTCAAACTTATCGCCCATTCAAAACCATAAACACAATGATTTATTATGCGAGTATCAAGTCCTTTCACTGCAATTCATTTGTTCCTTATCTGTGTTCACTTTTTGGGTTATATGCTCACCTGTTTGGAATTCTAAGGATACATTAAAACAGCCGTTGCTTGGGCGCGGTGTGTGAGTGGCCAGTGTTTGCTGGAGGCCTCTATTGAATTGATGGTGACAGGACCGGACGCTCGTCCTGTCCGCAACACACAGTTGTCCCGCTGCCAGGCTTCCTGCAGCAGTCAGCTGATGCTGATTGTGACGCTCCTGCTGCTTGTGGCATGCAAAAAGTTTTCCCTTTGAGTTTTCCAGCGCCGTCCGTCTGTCTGTCTGTCTGTCACTCTATGCGCTTCCTGCCTCTCGATGCCGCCACGTTGTGGCGAGAGTGAAAGTATTTTCTTATTTTTTTCCTTCTTTGTTGTATTTTATCGTGGTGAATTTGGGTTGTGGGTGCTCTTGCTCTTTCCCTCTCTAAGCTTTCTCCCTCGCTCAGAGAGCTAGGCACATTTTCTGGTTGAGTAAATCTTTTAAATAATTTGCTTGATATTCTCCTGTTACAGAGACACTTTGTTTAAGGCTTGATTTAGATTTGTATTATTTTTGTGAATTACGTTTCACTCTTGAAATATTATAGTGGAGAAATTAGTTGGGAAATGTTATGTGCTCTATAGTTTCTGCTCTCTGCACGCCTATAATCTGGATACTCCGTATTCCGTATCCCAACCGAGGATTCCGAAACCGAATTTCGGACTGGCGACTCCGAAACGACAGTCGTACGTGGCGAATTTGACGTTTTGTGTAATTTAACCTTCTGCCCTACTCTTCTCGAATGCGTCATCGGGAATCGCGTAGAGTGGAGTCGAGTCGAGTCGAATCGAATCGAATCGCTTATTTATTTGCTTAATATTTTATTTGGCACCCACACACGCGCACGCACACTTTGTTGCACATATTTTCATATTGGCTGGCGTATATTATTTTGGTTTTATTAAGCATACGCCATGTTGTACGCGAGCCCTCGAACAGCAAGTTGAGAGCCTTGGCCAGAAGCCTTCAAGGTTATTATTTCCTTGGTGTTTCGCCTCAAAAAGTTACCCTCATCTGTTATTGTTTCTGTTTTTGCTTTTTTTTGTCTGTAACCAATTTAATGAAGAGCCCTTCTCTGTGGCTCTATTTCGCCTGTTCTCGGCTGTATCTACATGCCCCATGCATATTGCCAAAAAAAAAAGATTGTTGGAGGAGGAAAATCGTTTTACACATTACACACAACAACACGGAAGAGGCAGAGTTGCCCTGTCTCTTTCCTTCTTTCGCCTTAGATTGCCCATAATTGGCGTATTTGTTTAACTGGCATTTCTAAACACTTTTTTCGTTTTTTTTTTGGGTTAATCGGCTGAGCCTTTTGCAATTATTTTGAGCCAACTTTTTTCTTTTCCACGAAACGCGATTGGGGCTGCGATTTTGTAGTTTCTTCCCCTTCGCTCTCTCCTTCTGTATTTTGTTTTATTTTTCAGCGGAGCTCCGCGTCTTGACCGTTTGGCTCCACTTCTCCGACTACTTTGGAGGCTTCGCTTTCGCAGAGGCCTCGGCCCAAAAGCTTTTCCCCGATTTTGTAGGCTTCCATGCAGACAAAGAGAGCCAGGCAGCGTGAGCGGAATCCCCGCCGAGACTGACTGGCGACGTCCTGGCGAGCTTCGCTCACATTCTCTCTCTTATTCTATTTCTACACCTAGAAATAAATTTCAAGTATTTAGCTTTTACTTTAATTCAAATTTAGTTGTCAGATACTAAGATGTGGGAGGGTTTTAGAACAAATTATTACAGACAACTTTTGTAATATTACATTGTTTTTGTCGGTTTTATAAAACGATGCCCGAAGTCAAATAATTACCTAAAAAACTCAATACCTAATTGTTATTTATTATTAAGGAACTTATACAATTTTATAATATTTTTCTACGTGTATCTCTCTCTGGCCTGGGTCCTAGGGTTCTCTTGTTGGTCTTGCACTCAAAGTTTGCGATGTTTGGATTTTGTTATTTTAATGTTCACTGAGCAGTCCCTGAGCAGGTGGACGAGGGGAAGGTACAGGGGAAGCAGGATAAAGGGAATACGAGAGAGGGGGTGTGTTCTCAGTCCCGTGTGCTTTTTGAGGATTTCTTTCGTGTAATTGTTTTCGTTACGTTTGTTACGTTTGTTATGGGCACCAGGTCCACATGCACCTAAAATGTAGACGTAATTATGCACTAAGAAAAATTATTGGTATTCATTGACCATTAAATACTTTTAGAAACGAAATTGGTGATATAACTTATAATCACATAATATTCTAGTAAATAGATTTTGATCAAGGACTTCTTTTTTAAATCCCCTTATTTAAATTAAACGTATCTATGTATATATGTATTGATGTGAAAAAATGACACAGCTAAAAAATGACACAATATCAACATATGTGAATTTTGTTTCTGTTTTTATTTTCTAAATATTGTTCAGCTTAAAAAAAATATATGGTTCAGTGATTTTTCCGTAAAATGTGTTTAACCATTCACGTATTCAGTTTTTACAATATTATAACATCAATGAAAATTAAGAAGTATTAAAAAAAAATGTCTCAAATTACAATTACTTGGCTTAAGTTCTCGTAGCTGAATGGCTTAATGCTACATTTTATTGAAGCTTTTGCCCAATTAAGTGTCTTGGTGTAGCCATAAAAACCATCCAACAAACCCGCGCCCATCAAAAGCCTCCCCAGCCACTCCCCCGCCTTTTACCCACCTCCCCCGCTGCCCATTAAATTTCCCCAAAGAGAGTGGCAACTCACTCAATAGTCCGAAAAGCGAATAGAAGCCCATCCGCTGAGACCCAAAAGAACCAGGTAACGCCAGAGCCAGAGCTTGCAGAAAGGAAAAGCTCTCTCCCCGTAGGAGTGCTCTCATTTTTTGGGGACAACTCTCTCCCACGCAGCAACTCAACACAGCTGGCAAAGAAACGTCAAAAATGTGTGGCAGGAGCTCTACGCTGAAGAAGAGGCAGAGAACGACCAGTTTGGCAGGCAGCAGAGGTCCTTTACTCTCTCTCTAGGGAGGCTGCATGTGTGTTTGTGCGTGTGTGTGTGAGTGATAGGAAGAGAAAGGGGAGAGGCACGAGTGTGAGTGCGGGCCCGACACGTTGTTGCATTCTCGCCTGCCACAGAAAAACGCTCAAAAGCAGGCAACTGAAAATAACAGTTTGATTCCTTTGGCTTCGGGTTTTTATGCACTTGCAGGGAATATTAAAATTCCTCCTTGTTAGATATAAGATATCTTATAATTTTTCTAATAATACGTTTAGATTTCGCAATGGCTTATAATTTGTTGTCGACAAAATATCTAAGTTCAAAACTTAACAACATGCTTATACATATATACTTCAAATAAATTGTATTATTTTGTATGTGTTGTATACTTTTCAAAATTAAATAGGATTAAATAAAAATGTTGCTTAGATACTATGGAACAAAAAAATTTTTTCCAAGATTTTTATTATGATTTCCTTCAATAACTTTAGGTAGAAATTCAATTAAAAATTATTTACCTAAGATTTGTCATGATTTATTTTATTATTTTGCCTCTAAAAATGGTAAATAGTTTATTTAGTCAAACTGAAAAATATTATTCTTTGCAATGTTGATATGCAAGGGTATTTAAAATACCGGGCCTTGGTCTTTATTCTCGGCTTTTTGTATTTTTTGTGTTTGGCAGTTTTTTTGTTTGAAGGTTTCACCTGGTGTGGATGGAAATGTACACGTGCTATGTAAGGTGGGTATATGGTCGAGGGAATCGTTAAGGAAGAGGGTGTAGCCCGCAGAGGATGGGGGAATGTGTGTGGTGTGGAGGAATGGAAGAATGGAGAAGGCCAAACTGGACTGTCGTCATTGATTCTGCCACCCCTAATCCCCCTCTTTCTTTCAGGAGCTTCTAATTGAATTTCTTGTTTTGACCTGCAGTTGTGACCCTGTCTTATCAATTTTCCCTGTGGATATGTGTTGAATTATGTCATTCTAACTGCGTCATTGTGTCTGCTTGAGGTTATCGATTATTCCTTCTCAGTTATGACGAAACGTGTTTGTACGCTAGAAATTGCTTTCACCTCCATCACTATCCCCAACCACAACTGTTTTGCTTCCGTTGCACAGAACAAAAATATTGTGTAAAATGTTTCTCAAAAATTGTTATACATCGATATAATATGTCATCATAAAAATTTGTTACAAGCTCAAGTGAAATGTGAACAATAGTATGAAAATAATGTTTTCAAATATTATGCTATCAGGTATTAGGTCAAATTCACTAGTAAGGACTCCATTTATAATATTTGAAGAAAACGATTTTATTTAAATTGTATTTTAAATATATTTAGCTGATATGGAACATGAATACAAAGTTCTAAGTGTTTAATTAAAAAGGTTATTAAAACCAATAACTCTGATTTGGTTATGATTTTCTTTGTGTGCTCGGGACTTGCACAACTATGACGTCATTGTTAACCCCGGAGCTTTCACTATGGCCAACTCCCCCGCCCCCCCCCAGCCACCCGCCACACCCCCTATGTGGCACTCCACTTTGATGTCACTACCCCATTTTTCAGCCCTTTCAAGCAGCTTCAACGTCAAGTCAAGTCAACTTATTTCCATTTCCATTTGATGGCTGATGCGGATTTTCACCGACTAGTTTGAGAAAGTTTGTTTTTCGAGAGCTTTTCAAGTTCTTCCAGCTACTTTGCCACGCCCCCTCGCCCTTACATCTCCATTTGTTTGCCGCTGCGGGTTTTATTATTGCGGCATGAGATTTATTTTTTGTCATTGAAGTGATCTAATTAAAGTTTGTGTGGGCCGAAAAATTATACGCGCCGAAAAGGAGAAAGGATAACGAAATTTGTTTTCAGCGAAAGTTGGAGGCGGGTCACGCCAGTCGGAGGTGCAACTTGTTTTCGTTCCCGACCGAAAGTTGTTAAAAAGCCAAAAAAGTAATTTATTTCAGTTTTACTGCCTTCTTCTTGGTTGTGTGTGTGTTTGTGTGTGTGTCAGCCTGCAAATGTAATGAGATGTTTTGACCCGCTAACTTGGTCCTTTATTCTAACCCCTTTCCTTCAGCCTTGTGGATGCTGATTTGGTTTGAAGCCTTGGCCAAGTTCTCTTGGCATCGGCTGCTTGATAATCAGATTTTTCCACTTTCCGTCCTTCTTCGCTTTTCACATCGAAATGGGTTAAACTTTTTCTGTTGACTTGTTGGGGGTTAAGTTTCGACATTGCCAAGCCAGGCTAATCAAAGTTGGGAATCTGTTTTGTTGGATTACTAATACCTTAAATGGAATGACACATTTTCTGACGCAGATGGGCTGTTTTGATTTTTGGATATCTTATATCCCATCAGAAAATCCTTTAAAATCGATAGTGTATTTATATTTCTAAATTGTACAGTTAAATAAACCTGAATATTACTTAAGTGTCCTAAGTAATTGATTTTCTTATTATTATACTTACTTCGAAAGTAACCTTTATAGTAAATTTAGATCATTGTTTTCTTTTGGTACAATTTATTTTGCAGAAGAACACAAATTATCGCTTTTCATTTATATATTTACAATATTACTCTGTTTTTTTTCATTTGTTTACTCCATTTCGCATTTAAATAACTATCATATTTAATATGTATAAATCGAAGTTGATTCTTAGTGTATACCGTATATGTATAATTGTTTCATTCTCTCATTAATTTTCAATGTAGATAACTTACAAAATCTGAAATACAATTTCTTAACAGGCTAAAGTTATTGATAAATCGTTATTTGTTGTTGTGCACTCCACTCGGAAACAGTTACAAATAGTACTTATTGTTAATTTTGTATTTATAATACACGTACAGTGGTTAAAATCTTCTATACAAATATGCTTCGTTGTTTGTGTGTGGAAAGCCCTCAAAGTAAAGTACAGACAAGGAGGATTCTTAAACCAACTTAATATCCGTTTCAAGATTCCAAATTATTGTACCACATTTAGAATATCAATTGTTGTATATAATTTTATATACGTAACATATAAATATATATATGTGTGTATGTGTATGTAAATATCAGCAAGTATTCCAGTAGAGTCTCTATATACTATATGTTTTGGGTTGGTTTTTCAATAGACTTACACAACGAACTCTAGGCCTGGGAAAAATCAGAGATTACAAAAGTTTGCTAATTGCTAATTGACAGGTTTGAATCTAGACATTAATCGAAATAATCGGTAATCGAACTAATCGAATCTACTATTCTTTTACTTTTCAATAAATAACTTAATCGAATATCGAACCTAAATTGAAATTGGTTTATCCAGTTTTGTCATGGGCGAGTCAAGCTCTAGCTATTTACAATTCCCCCCAAAAAGGTAATCCTTAATCCTCATTCCTCAATCCTTACTCCTCGCCCTCGTATCCCAGACACCATAATTGGGACAGGGGCACGGCTGTGGACTAGCTACCGGCCACGCCCTCTTCCTTTCGCGGTCTCAGGATAAAGTTGAGGTTGTAGTTCGTGTTCACCGCATAGTAGACATTCGCATTCTTCGGCATTACCAGCTCTTTATCGGGTAGAACCTGCGCCAGGGTGAACCTCTCCGGATCATCTTCCAGACCCAACTTAAGCATGGCATTACGGATCACCTGCGGCGTACGCTCGTTATTTCCCAGCATAATGCTCTTGTACAGCACAATCCCGTCCAGCTCAATGTTGTCCGTCTCGTAGGTCACCCGGATGATATAGAAATCCGGTGCGGACTGAGGAGTTCCACTCGTTGGCTGGACCAACTGGGCGTTGATGTGGGGGGATCCCCCATTGGTGGTTCCATTCCCATGCGATTTTAGGCCATTTCCCATGGACTGCGAATGGGTGAGCTTGCCGGATTGCCGTCCGCCAGAGTTACTGGAGTCCAACGACAGATTGGACACACTACTCGAGGCGGACATCAAGGAGGTGTGCTGATGGTTGGCATCCCGATCCAGGGAGTTGTGCCTCGAGCTGGTGCTGCTGTTCAGTTCGCAGTAGAACTGCGATCCCGCCCCGCTGCTCGAGTTGGAGTGTATGGAGTCAGTCTTCCGGTGGCCAATAATCGAAGCCGTCGACGAGGCGGTCGTATTTGTTAAAGAGGTGTTTGTGCTGACCACTGATTTCCGTGGCGCCGGCGGTTGTGCTTCCAGTCGGCAACTCAGCTCAAAGGCCTCCCGTTCATCGAGCACTGGCATCGAGTTGAACCAATGATCGAAGAGGGCATCCGCCTGGAGATTATACGTGTTGGCTGCTCCCTGAAGCAACTTTATCTGTGCCAGCACCTCGAACTCCTTGCGCTTCTTGTCGAAGTTTATGAGCTTGTTCTCGGTGAGGTAATCCGGATTGGCCGTATGGATCATGGTCAGGTCGGTGAGGAAAGTACCCAGATAGGGTATCGTTCCGTGGGAAGTCTGCGTGCCCAGATTCAGGATGAGCTTCTGCATATGCCGATCGCTGTGATCACTGCCCGGATTGGATTCTGGATTCTTAGCCGTTCCCTCGCGTTTCAGCACTTCTCGCAAAGTCCACGCATTGTTGTCCTCCGAGCAAATCCGCGCCAGCTCCTTAAAGACTTCCATCTGGGAGAGAATAGCATGAAAATAATTATTAATGATTTTCATATAAGTATATCACTAAAACCTACCCTTTCTTTAGGCAGCACTTCCCAGATCTTGGAGAGGCGGTATATGGAATTGGAATTCAGAGCCGAAATAATGGCCTTAAGCGAACTAAAGTTCTTGAGCATGCGCAGCTCCTGGGCAATGTCAATCCATCGTGAAATGTTCAGAGCGCGCTCCTGATCGTTAAAATAATTAACAAGATATTTAAGTTAGTTTTGGATTTCTTATAAAATCTGGCTATATATCACCCACCTGAGGCTTTAGCCGATCGATCAGGATGCTGGACACGACCCGAAAGAGCACCGCATTAAACTGGTTGATGGTGGCCACTACAGTCTCCGATCCTCCACTATCCCGCCGGGCCCACGTGTGCCCAAGGCACTGATGCGGAATCAGTCGCTTGAACAACTCCGTGTCCATACGGGTCAACTGCTCGGCAAAATGTCGGATGGGCACGTGGGGAAAGCGGAAGGCCTGCAGGAAGTGGGTGGGTCCACGATAGATGGGACCATGACCCATTGGCGCGAGGTACATGCCGTTGAACTGATCCGTCAGGTCATACGAAGAGCCGTAGTGCGTGGGAATCATGAACTGCTGCATCTGTTGCGAACCCGCGGCCGAAAGCCATGACAAGCCATTGCCCTCCGAGCCACCGCCTCCTCCTCCTCCATTTCCATACACAGACTGTCGGATGAGCCGCTCTAGACGATTCAGCACCTTGATGTGCAGATCGGATCGTTTCAGTCGCTTCATGGCAAAGGCCAATATCTGTTTGAAAAAAGTATTGAATCATTAAAAACAAATTTTTATGTTTTCTATACTATTTCCTTACCTGTTGCAGGTTTTCCTCGTGCCAATCCTCCGGAAATCCATCCAACCAGACGTGCAGCGCCGAGACTAGGGTTTTCTTGTGCTGCTCGTGGATGGAGTTGTGGGGATCATAGGCAGGATCCATCCCCTGGCCATTCTGCTGCACTTGCTCCAGCTCCTCCAGATGCTTCTCGTGCAGCGCATCGTAGCGCTGGGTCAGCAGACTGAGCACCTGCTTGGGCGTGGAGAAGGTGCGATACGTGGACAGGAACACGTTGATGAAGGTGGACTCCAGCTCCCCATCGTCGGTGGCCAGGGCCTCCACCAATCGGGCCAATGTAGCCGCCTTCACGAAGCGCACTCGCACTGTCTCCCACTCCAGATGGGAAATCTCATCATCAGAGTCCTGCGCAAAAGAAAATTAACATACAAATTAGTCATTAATATATGACATTAGCAAGACTTTCTTCTAATTCAAAATGTTCACTCTAGATAAAAAACAACAAGTGACCTATGGTGAACAGCATTATTTTAACGATATATATTACAAAATTAAAGTAAAAGCATTTCAATTTAAGCACTTCTTAAAACCCAAGTAATTTATAAATACATTTTACAGTTTTAAGTATTATTTTAAAATAAATGGATAATATGAGAAGGAACTCCATTACAAACTACCAAGCTTAAGCAGAATCTTAAGGTTGGGTAAATTGAAAAGCTTTATTTAAGCTGATACTATCTTTAAGATAAACGATTTTATACTCAAAATCAATTACTTACATTGCTGGCCGTGGGCGTGGGTCGGTGATATCGTACTTTCTTCAGGTAGACGGTGAAAATTGCATTCTTTTCGTGCTCTTCGCCCCAAAGGCGCCACGTGGGCTGTACAATAATGAAAAAGAAAGTGGATTAGTCTAAAAGGTCAAGATGGCATTTTAAGGTTCTTGCAACTTTAAAATGTATGTTTTTTCCTGAACTTTGTGTGGAAACCATATTTTGGCAGTGTCAATGCTTGATGCACACAACGACTCATTATTAAGTATCATATATAAATCAAAAAATATAGTTAAAAATGAATATCTATAAATATACCAAAAGCATTCGATAAAATTAAATAAATAGGTATTTATACAATTTTCCAAATCTATGCCAAAGTCAAAGATCACGGCTAATTTATAGGCAATCAAATGTATCATGCGACTAAATTTAGCTGAAATATCCGACGTATTTTTAATTTATTTCCCCTTAATACGAGTTCAACAATTTTTAAATATTCCCAATATAAACATTATGTCTAAAGATTTTTGCAAATTGTTTTGAATTGAAAAATTGTTTGTTTTTGTGGAAATTCGTTTGTCTGGCATTTCCATTTCCATTTCCGTTTCGTGTGGCATCTTTGGCAATGTTAAGGCCCAAACAACATTTGTTCTTGTCTAGTCGTGGTATTTTAATTGATACATAAATTCTTTGCTAATTTGTTGGATAGAGCGAAACTAAATGAATTTTAAAAGAGAAGAAAATAAAAATGTTTTAGAAATTGCTTGTCCTAATTGGAAATGAAAAGACAATTGTGCAATTTCAAATTTAAAATTAAAATTGCATAATAAAATATGCAGACTAGATGTCTTTTCGTACAAAAAGTTCAGTTTTAAACTCATTTATTTATGTATTCATAAAACTTATTTCCCAAGGCTTTGTGCGCCCGGAAAATGCCTAACATTTTTTCGCTTAATCAACGTCGAAGCATTAAAATTCTAATTAGAAAATCATGCAACAAACAAAGGCAGCGCTTTACAAAATACCTTTTGTGTTTATGTAAAAATACTACATACAGACAGGCCCACATAAATGAGTGCATAAGTATTTAAATTGAAATTTACTCGCAGCAATGAAAAAAGCGTGAAAAAGCATTAAACGAGAAGTGAATGAATAAACGAGCAGCAAAAGCAACAACAGCAACCACAAAGGGAAAGGCACGCAAAGTTTCAGAGTGTGGTTGGCGCCCCCCAATAATAAACACCTAAACAGCAAAAAAAAAAGTTACAACAAAGCCGTGGATTAACCGAAGTCGCTATAAAAAGATTTTCCCCCACCGAGAAAAAATATTATCGAAATTCCTTACTAGGGACTTAAATCATTAAACAGTCCTTATCTGCAGCATATATGTCAATAGGATTTTTTGGAATATTAGGGGCTGATGTATCAAATTCATGTTATGTTTTGAAATAAAGTTTATTTGCTGTTTCAAAAGCATTTACTTTCTAAATAAAAGTTTCTCTTACTCAAAACAACTAAAAGCTAAATTCTAGTCAAGATTTATCGCCCAAAAAATTAACACCACGATGAGAAAGAGAATTTGTGTTTCCTAACAATGTTAACTTTTTCTGGCAGATTAAAAGCTATAATCCTAAAATAACATTGAGAAATGTTAGAAAACCATTTTCAGCTTTTTATATTATTCTTTTTAAAAAAAATTAATGATGTCAAGACAACAATATTAATTAACGTTAAAAACTTTTCCAACAAATTAAAGCAAATCTGTTTTATGCAAGTAAGAATATTATAAAAAATTATTTTCTCTGTGCAGACAGGGCGACAACAGCAACAACATCCAGCTGACCCCAAATAAGAATCCCAAAGGGAATGCGAATACATAAACATGATTCGAAGTTGGGTGGAAAAGGGGGGTCCGCCCAGAAAAATCCACACACGAGCACGGGGTCATCCATCCTAGACAGACAGACACGAATCTCATGTTGATCCAATTAATTGCCCGCATGCGCTTTGATTACACCAAACAAAGGCGAACCAATTTGTACAAATGTTTAGTTCACTTCGCCAGTATTTCGTAAAATTTGTTCAAAGTACTTTAATATTTCGTAAAAACATGGAACTACAAAATGAGCACATACTTTTTCTCAGGGTGTTAAGTGCCAAGCAAGAGGCCGATTAGTTGTTTTGTGTAATTGTGCATAAATTGTTTGTTTGCGCCGAGATGGATCTGGAAACAGCTGAAACATTTCCAAATGGCCTTGCAAAAATAGAAGACATGATGTGGCAATGTAAGGGCATTCCGAATGGGGTTGGACCAATCTTGTGATCCATTTGCACTTAAAAATATTTAGCCAGCGATTAAAAAGTCCCCCCGCTAAACAAAATTCAATAACAACAGATGGGAAAACGATATTAGAATGATTTTTTTTCCTGCTTAAAATCCGAAAACATAGAAAACAAAATTGCAATTGTTTTTATCTAATTGTAGCATGCTTGAGCTTAATTGCTGCTCTCTGTTTTATTTTTCGGCTGGCTGATTTACACACATTTCCCCTTCCCCAATCCATTAAGCATACATATATGTGTATATGCATATATACAATGTGAAGGCAACATTTAATCAATTCCGATTCACGATCATCGGCACCGGCAGCGACTTTTCCTTAGCGGCATCTGCCAAAAACTTTTGCCGCTGTTCTTGATTCGCATTGTGGAAAACATATACACGTATGTACATATATCGTATAAGTATTTATTTAATTTATTTGTTATTTATTTGGCATTTTTTGTTTTGGATGCCTTATACGAACTGCTGTGTTCATTTGGTTTTGCTGTTTAATTAATGACGCATTGTGGCAGCTCAATTCAATTCCCCATTTGCGTCAAAACTGAAGGAAATACTAGTACTCCTACTTAAAAATGATTTACAGGCATAATTTCGGTAGTAAATCAAGTATAAATGGACATTGATTTACTAGCTGCAAGCGGAAATTTGGATTGGAAAACTCATCATTGAGTCATTTGTGCAGTATTGTCCAGCAACAACTCTGTATGGGCATTGGAATAAAACTCTCGCTTAATAATTATTTCAATCATGAAATTTCTTCTGAAAATTAGATTAAATTTTGCTGCGAGACAATTTCGTTTATTTACTTCCGTATGCGAACCTCACTGTTCTATTATTATCACTAAGTTCAAGTTCACAGACAATTAAGTGATATGTTTGGCTATCACACAATGATTTGACTTTGTATTCAACAAAAAAAACTTTGGAGCTGCTTTGCATTATAAGAAAATTATATAATTTCAGGCATTTTTCTAAAAGCAAAGTCAGTTATGAACAGATAAATTGCCACAGCTATTTTGCTTCAATTAAAAGTCTATTGCCTCATCGCCTTAAATTCTTGCATGCAATTCGAGCAATTAATTAGTGTCAATTAGACAAACGATTGGGTAAACATAATTAAGCCGGATGTGACTCAGCCACCTGCAACACGACGAGTGTCTCACACCAAATAAAGTCAAAGAGAAGAAAAAAATTGGTGCAAAATGGTATAGGTAAGAAAATTCAGTATTAATGTCTATTAATTTAATATTAGCAATAATTCCTAACGTTTTTCCCAAAGTAAACAAATTAAATGAATAAAAAGAAAAAACCCATTTTCCAGCTGTGTAATTTTAATTGTTTGTTTCTGTATTAAAAAACCCGGTCGCATTGGCAAGATTAAAATATTTAAATATTAGAATTTCTATTTAAGCTAGAATGCAATATATTTTTAATATTTTAAATTAACCAAGCCATTAAACAAAACGCTGACGAGTTTATGTTCAAAGAAAATAATTTTACGAACTTAAATCATTTTAGAAATCAATATTAGAAACATTAATACATTTTGTATTATCACATAAATAATGTTATGCATGCAAATGTTCTATAAGAAATATCAATATTTCATAAGTTTTGTTGATTTTTTAAGCTTTTGGTAAACCTTTTTAAAGAATAAAATTATATATCTTTTAATAGTGCCCCTATTTACCTTTGTGTAGGTATAGTTTTTGGCGTGCAAATCTTTGGTCTTCTTGGAGAGATTCCTTAGCGTGGCACCTGTGCAGGCACAGAGGTACTTCAAGCTGGCCACCACTTTGCGTTCCGCATTGAGCACAGCAGAGGAAACATCCAGATCGTCATAGGAGTGATAGGAACTGTTCCTTCTCGGCTTGGCAGATGCGGATCGGGATCGGCGCTGCTGGGGTTCCTGGCACATGTGAGTGGCTGGTTTTTTCCTCTGTCTTGGACAAGTGTGATGGTGGTATGGCCTCTTGGAGTCCTTCGCATCCTGCTGCTGATGGTAGGCGCAGGACTGGCTGGTGGTGTTATTATTCACCTGCCGCCAGGCACTGCTCAAGTCTGTATTATCCAGCGGTGGCATCAGGGCGCGATTATATCCTGCCAGATCCTGCAGCTGATAGGCGCAGGTGTGACTCTTGATGAGAGCGGGCTTCTGCTGATGCTTTTGGCTATGCGGGCATTTGCAGTTGGCACGACTTGTGAAATTCTGCAAGTTTGTTTTGGTTTAAACTCATTTAGTTTTTTTCGGGGGTTGTTAAACCCTCAAGAGGTTTGCTTTGTACTTGATCTTGGTATCGGGCTGTGGTTCATTGATTGACTGCGACCCTCAACCCACTTGAGCTGTCTTCTCAGTTCGTTCACAGAGCCCCTGACCTTGGCTACGATTTGACTCCAAAGACACACACACACACAAACAAAACACAATCCACTCGCATTGTTCAGCTGTATTTGAAGTTTATGATGTACTCACATCACAAAAAAAACACAAAATATACCCAAAAATAGACAAAAAACTATACCTAGCAAACAAACAAACGAAAAGTGTATTTTTGACAAGCGACTTTTGTACTTCAAGTGGCGCTCACTACTCACTCAACCCCTCCAAATTTGGCTAAGCCCCCATTTGCCTAGGGCAAATTTACGGGCAATCTTTGTTTAACATTTTCACATTGGGTTAGGCGCGTTGTTCATCCCGGCCTTTAATCGTAAACAACATCCCAAGTATGATCAATCCAGGCCCCCTATTCCGAGATGTGTACAACTTTTACCAGGAAGTTATTACGGGCAGCTAGTTTGTTTTTGTTGTTTTTGGGGCTTACTATTTCACGCCTATTGACAGCTGCGCACAGGTTTTGCCAAGGAAATAATCATCCGAAAATACTCTGGCAAGGAAAAAGTATAAGGAAAAGTTGCTTCCGACTTGGACACACATATAACAAATCTAAGTAAAGAAATCAAAAATTAAAAAAAAAATTGTATTTAATTTAATTTATGCCATCTAATAATTAAATGTAAAATTTACTTTCAAAAATTAATAAAATATTTCTTTATACAAGCTGCAGCTAAAGTTTCTTTCTTTAAAGAGTATTTCCGCTTCGTGTTATCTTATGGAAACTCTGCAATATTTTGCCTAGATAAATATTTTCTTGTTTTTGTATGGGAACTGCGTTGCGCTTTCCTTTTCTCCATCAGTTTTATGGCATTTACCTCGCCGGAGATGAACTGGCCCAGCCCATTTCATGTAGAGTTTAGCCATAAATTCAGGCCAACTCCGACCATTTTGCATTTTTGCTCAATTACAGCCCGGTCTGGCTCCATTGCCAATTACATAACTTGTTTCTGGCCAAATTCGTGCGAAGAGAAATGTCATTTGGTTGGTAGGTCTCTGAGCCACTTAATCTCCGCTAGGAAAAACACATTATTCGGAGAGGGGTCAACGGTTGGTCATGCGTGAGGAAAGGGAAGAAAAAAGGTCGGGTCCAGAGGTCTCGGATCTGGAACGTGCCTCGCGTGGCCAAGTGTATGTATAATAATATGCGATGCCTTGAAATTAAATTACCAAGAAATGCATCGAAGACCAAACAATCAAATACGCATCACGAAAATTAAATCGAGCACAATCAAATAAAATAACACATATAAGAAAGCCACCCGATAATTAAGGCACGTCCGCCCAGCATGCGTCATTCATTTCAGGAGGTCGAGGATTTTCTTCCCGGGGCGAAGCCATAAACTAGATGCAATCTGAACAAAGCTTCTAATTCGAGCATGAACTATACGTAGATTGTTGATAGAAATTTAATAGATTCATTCTTTCTGCGCAGTGAACCAATTTCAGATGGAAATATTTATTCCAAATATTTGGCTTTATTTCTGAAGCATACAATTAAGAACATGTTTTCAAATGTCTGATTAAACGATCTGTTTGGTACTGTTAAAATATTTTCCATGACGTAAAAAAATATGAAAAGATTATTAAATATTTCTTTATTAAAGCAAACATTATGTGTGATAAACTACATTTAAAGACTTTAATTTTATCTGTAAAACTAAACAACAAATTTGCTCCCAGTAGAATAGAAAAAAAAGTTATTGAAAATATTTAAATAAATAATTATTATAGAAAGCCTTCAATAATAAAATTTTCCCTCTAAAGTATTTCACAGTAATAAAATTTCAATACCTTAACAAATCGTGTTTTATAAACATTAGCCACTTTTACCCTGAAGATTGCATATTTATTATCATGAACTAATAAAGTAACAAAGCTTCTCCAAGTCGAACTTTGAAACCACAACTGATTATAAGAAATCCTTCAAATCTTCATACTCGAATCAACCCAGACCCATATATGCGCATACATATAGTATATATTTGTAATTGTTTTGTTTGAGATGCCTTCGTCTAATCAATATGCACATATATTGCACTCGATTCGTACCAAGCCCCAGAAACAGAACACACTCATTTCATTCACGATTATTATTACAACGAATGCCAAACGAGACCGAGAGAAACAGAACACGACTTTGGGAGGAAACGCCATTTGCATACGGCTGAGTTTTACCTTTTCAGACCGAATGATTCATCAGAAAATACCCAACTCAGGAAAAAACAGCGGCAGAAAAAAAGCTCATTAAACGATGAAATATTATAGTATTATAATGGCAGACGGGCAATTGTCAAACTTTTTCGTGTTTGTGTATACAAGCCGCTTAATTATAAAGAAATAACATCCAAGTATGATGGGGTGGCTGATTGGTACGGCCCACATCATCTGTCTATATATAGAGCAGGTGACCTTTCCTCCAGAAAAGCGTGTGGGTGGAGATTTCTGTTTTCCGCCGGGGGGTTTTCTCAATTACAGATCTTTGCAAAAATAGCCAGAAGTCCATAAAACAGGAGGGTAGAACAATAAAACCAGGTGAATGGCCATTGGTTTTGTATTTGATTGGGGCACATTACTCAACAAACAGAGATACAGCCAATAATCCGAATAATCAAATTGCGTTTTCAAGAATTTCTTTCTAGAACAACAGTTTGGTATTTTATTTACATTAAAATATATTGCCATTTTTACTTTATAATTTAGACTATAATGTTATATTATCGTAAAAGTTGAATGAATAATAACATGATATTTTAAGTTGAGTTTTCGAACAAATTGGAAATACTTAGTGGGTGAATAAGCATAAGATTAGGTGTTTGAAATTTTGCAAACATTTCGTTAATTTGGTAAAATATTGCAAGGCATTTATTTTGACCGCAACTGTAGGCACAAATATCTATTTTTAAATCGACGACCCCTGGCACGAGTTTTGTGAATTGCAGCAACAGAAGCAGCGGCGAAAAAAAAAACAGCGCAAAACAAAATTGAAAACGCCAAAGGAAAAAGAGACTGAAACTAAACACCACTCTCCCCCCTGTCATCTCTGAATGACTGACTGGCTAAATGACTCTGACTGACTGTCAGTTACATCTGACTGCATCCGACGCAGTCAGCTTGACAACATTTGTTGCTCCCTTGGTGCACAAGAAGAAATTAAAAACAGTTTATGCCCCTTTAATAACCATGTTCCACTAAGATGTTCGCAAATAAAAAATAAAATAAAAACTTTTTCAAAAGCTGATAAGCATGTGGATTTTTTTAATTTAAGTAAATTTTAAAATTATTTGTACAACATTTTAATATGATTTTCCAGCTTTTTTTACTCAATTAATGTCCCCTACTTCCGCCTACCACATCCTGTTTTGAAACTTTTTCAACCTAAAAACCAATTAAATCTTAGCTTGCTGCAAAAATTTCTTTTTGTGTACCTATCTGTCCCGCTCTTTCAGCTATTATCAAACCACATCCGTCGGGCAGTAGAGATGATGTACAAACAATACAAAAACATATCAACTTGAACTAAAGCTTGAGCCACTGAGCATAGCTCTCCACGTAAATTATTTTTATGCATTCTCCATCATTATCCACTGGGAAGAGGAAGAGGCGGAGCTTTTGTTTTGCATACAATGGGGCCTGATAAATGTTTGGAGCGGGTCTCCACATAAATGGATGATAAAAACACAAAAACAAAACTGAGAGTGCAACTTTAATAATATGTGGCCAGTTTTCAAATGAATCATTTTTAAGTTATTAGTATTCTTAACTTTTAATCTATTACAAAAATAACTTGTTTCCTGGCATAATCACAATTTTGAGAACTACATATTACAATGATATACCCTCATTATTCATCACTCAACCCTACCCACATAACAGAATGTTTTCAAGTTAAAATTAATTATTAAAATCCAAAAACATACAATAATAAAACAAAGCTTCTCCAGGCAGTTCTCATGTCATTCATTTAAAAGTTATACAAAATTCTATCGATCCCTAGTCCTTTCCCAGATACATAATTTATTTCCAGACTTCACTTAAGCGTAAAGTTTCCGTACTATTGCCTTTTTACACATAATCGTTGTTGACATTTCTCCACGATTTGACACCAGGACAATACAGTAATCACTCTTACCACATAACCAGATCAAGTACAAAGCAAGGTTAAAAATTCTTGGACAAAGAAAAGGGTGCGCATTATCGATAATTATCCATGTTGTTGATTCAGGGGCGAGGGTCAATAGTAATGACAAAGATAAGCCACCTACGAGTGACATGCCCTCACAGTGGTTGTAGTAAAATGTTTTTGTATCTTATCTTAAGTTTTCAGTATTAAATAACTGGCTTGAAAATTATAAAATACTTTAAAAATTCCCCTCGGAGTTTCTTTATAATGAGTAACCACTGTAAGGGCAGCAAAAGAACCAGAGATCTCAAGCGCGCCCCGTTTTATCTGCCCTGATGGATTACGATGTTTTTTTTTACCATTTGAGATTGGCTTTTGTTCCTTGAGAAATGTGGCTGAGATTTTCTGATGAGGCACCGCTACGTTTTTCCTATCCGTTATCCTCCGTCTCTTCTGTTTTCTTTAATTTACACGGCTCCTTTAATGGCTTCTGGTGTTTTTATTTTTACCCAAGTGCAGTTCAATGGATGGTGGGTGGGGTGGTATTGTAGGTAAAGGCAAGTAAAATCGATATTCCTGCTGCTCTTTTTTCTGAGCTTCTGTTTGGCTGCCCGCTATACCGTTGTTCAGCTTCCTGGGAACGATGAGTCAACGGGACGCACAGAAACACACCCAGGAGCAGTAGTGGTGGGGGGTGGTATTTGTTCACTGGTTAGTGGTGAATCTTTGGTCCGCGAAGAAGGGTTCGTTGCACTACGTCTATACGTCTGCTTTGCAATCTCCTTGTTTTCCTTCCCTACTATTTATTTTCACTTTTTTCTCTTTTTCGTTTGCTATTGTTGCAATTGCACACATATAAACACCGATTTTCGGGATACCGCCTGCATTTTCATTCGTTTGGCTGAAAATCTCAACATGAGACATCCATGTAATTACAAAAACATTATACAAAATTCACATTCGGGGGTTTCTCCAATTGGAAAAGGGGGTAGAGCGAAAAACGCGCGCGAGACACACACACAAATCTCTCGGGTAGAGAGACACGCGACACAACCGCCGCCAACAACAGTCGAAAACGAACTCTGTCTGCTTAGAACAAACGTCTGTTCGAAAGCCCCTTCGTTTTGCACTTGGGCTCTCTCTTACGCTCCCATTCTCTCTTGGGGATCCACTCTGTTCCAATAAGAACCCTGCTGCCGGGGATGTTCTTACACTACGGATGTAACCGTCTCATCCCCGTGATGAGAGAGGGCATCAACTGTGCGCTCTCATCGGGCTCTCTTTCAGGTATTCTAGTTTTGGACCGTGGGAACTTCTAGCACCCACTATATGTTTTACACCCTCTGAAAGGGTGTACTCATTTGTGTGGATTTTAGTGGTACGCAGAATATTCAACGGAAAACAATTTGTTTAGTTATCGTTTTAGTTAATATCGTAGTCTTAAATTGTATGTGTTTTTTAACACTATATAAAAGCCAATTATACAGGTTGGACTTTTACTTGAGGACCTTCGAGCTTTAAATTATCATTACAATGTATGTAATTTACAAAAGTTAAATTTAATACTTAAATGAACACTATCCAAAATTATTATTTTATAGTCGCCTACATAAAATATATAATGAGTGTGTTCCTTTAAGATAAACCCTACCCGAAAATCAATTAAAAAACATTTTTGATATGAAATTGATATAATACTTTTACCATTTAGTCTTGGGTGTTTTACCATTTGGGTGTTTTTTAGTCGGGGCTCTCATACTTTGTAATTCTTACTTGTTCCAGCCATTCTCGCTCTGTTTATGTTTTTTCTGATGAGCAATTGACTGGGTTGTTTGTTTCTCATCAGAACTCTCTCACTCATTCTCACTCGGTAAGAACTAGTATTTTTTTGGTATTTTGTATAGCCAACTTCACACTGACCCCCACAATAGCATTTGTTTTCATTATCTTCACGCATATATCAATTTAATTTATGAGCCTCTTAAAACTTTAAGACTTGACTTTTTTTTTTTGATTAATGAAAAAGAAGAAATTTAAATAATTTCCCTACTTGTTTTGTTTGAGTTTTTGGGCTATCAGTTGACCACCCGGCCGAACATGTGAACTGGAATGACATAATTATGGAAATAGGAATACCTGAATGTATGGTATTTGGTAACGACTTAAAGAAAGCTGGCGGGGAAATCAATAAGCAGAAATATTAATAAAACGTGCATTTACGTAAGCGCCATTCAAACGATGTCTGTTGTTTTGTTTGTCGCTTGTAGACATTGGATAAACATTGAACACCGAAAGCACGTCAATTGATCAATTAGCGAATGCAACAAGTTTCAAGACAAGGGACTGCGGAAATATGTGTTATGCACTTGGGGATGCTGATACAGATTGTTGCATAAAGCAAACAAAATAGATCAAGATAAAATGGGCTTCTAATTGGGTCAATAAAGTTGGTATCATAATTGGATCTCAAATTACCAAACATATTTTTTTAAGCTGCTAAACTACGATGTTGTTTAAGCTAATATGATTAAAATGATGATCACACATTATTTTCACATATTTCATAAAAATACTTTGTTTTCTAAAATCGAATTGAAATGATGCGTTGTTGTGTTTGAGAAACCAAAACAATTTTATACAAGTATCACTTAAACATTATCTTCACAAGTCATTTATTAAATTGTCATAAGTCATATGAGGACGAGAGTTTTCAGATTCGAAAATATATGACAAAAAACAATTATTAAATTATATAGCTAAATTTTTTAATTTATGTTATTATACAAATATTAAAGAGTATTTATTGGTAAAGTTGTTAATTTTGAAATCTGTTCGATCAAAATTTTATAGCCAATAAGGCCACAGTTGCTGTTCACATTGATACGGTCTACCAAATATTTGACCAAGTAATTAGCAGACTTGGGCAAAAGCTTCCACACAAAGTTCGGTGCTTAAGCGAGATACTTTCAAAATGACTTTCTATGCATTTCCCTGTTACTTTCTACGCTAACTATATACTAAAGTACATGTACAAGATAATGGGTTAGCTACTCACCAAACTATCGGCCACATTTTGACTCATTATAATCCGCAGCGTTGACGATGGCCAGATGCTGCAATTACTTCAAGGTGCGTGCTGCTCAAAATCTGGTGCGATGCAATTGCCAATGGTGCTGGTGATGATGGTAATAATGATGATGACTGGTATCTGTCGGATACGCGCATTTTGGCTTGGCACAACTAACGACGAACAAAGACTCGAACACACACACTCGACACGTGTAACGCGTTTACTTATTTATTTCTTTTGGGTTGTGCAATTCGCTCGGACAAGCGGATGTATCTGCAAGATACGCGACCAAACTTGCAATCGTATCGACACAAATTTCAAGTTTTCTTTTCCATTTTGTTACCAAACTGCAAGAAAGCGACAAAACATTTGGGTGAAAACCATTTCAGCTCAATGGAAAGTGCGGCAGTAGCAACAGCAGCAGCCCGTAAATGAAACGGTCAATAAAAGTTTGAAAAAAAATGAACCAAAACCGAACGCACCACACATTGTTGGCATTCCAGAGGCTTAGAAGCCAAGACCGCGGAGACCAAGCGCCATCGACCGCCCAGCAACAACTAACCCAGCACTGGAGCAGCAAAGCCGCCGGAATAAAATGAAGGCGGTTTGAACGTCGCGCGCAACTGATTTACGATATTCGCTATACAGTGGGATGGATGGGAAAATTATATTTAAACACAATGTTAAGAACCACTCCTATATGCTAAATATATGTGCACGATACTATGCGATTTTCTGCATTAAGGGCATACCAGACATTATATGGAAAAAATGCCAAGATAATCACTCATACGCACTGTTGATCAAAATATGTTTTCTAACTAACATTATGTGTCATATGAGTAACTTTCAAGGAAACTGTCAGACATTGCGACTGTTTCTTTAGCTCAATCTGGAGTTATACACAAAACTAATTGCCTTTATAAGTACTAGGCGTAAATTATTACCTGGTATTCAATACAAAAACTAAAGTTGGTTGTGGTTTTTCTTGAACTTTAAAGAGAATGCAATGATGAAAAAAATAGTATATATTGTATATTTTTCGTAAGCTATTTACTTTGTTGAGCCAACATCCAGTATCTCGTTTTGAAGGATCATATCAGCAAAATAATTTATTAAATAGGTTTATATACTTCGTGGGAAATCTAGGGTAAAGCAAAGAGAAGTTCTCCCACACCCACTGTGGCAATTTTCGCCAGTGACAGCGGCAGCGAAGTTGACAGCACCTAATGATGGATTTCTTTTTTACGACTCGTAATCGCAGTTACCCCTTTTCTGGTGGGAGGGAAAAGAGCAAGCAGATAGCGGCTCGTCTCGAAATATTTAGCTAACGCAAAACAAAAACATTAATGAAAGTTTTTCAGCACAGCCGTTGTTTTTGCTAGTCTACGCTTCTACCTGTTCGCATTCGATCGCTGGCATGCTGCTATGTGTGTTCTGAATAGTTATGTAGCTCAGACACACATGAAAAAATGTGGAAAATGTTTGGTCGGACAATACCTGGGCAAAGAAATGGAAACAAAACAAACGAAGAACAGGTAGACGAATATCGTCAACATTTAGAGGCTTGCCAAAGGTAAAGGGAGAATCGGAGAAAGATAAAAAATCTGAGAGAATCGGATTGTGAGAGCGCAAAACTGATCATATGTTTTTTGGTTCTATGGAGTTTAAAAGAGAGACAACAAAATTTGATTCTACCGAATATCGTAAGCAGAGTTTAAGCCAGATTTTGATAAAATTCCAGAAACTAGTACTTTGTATAATTTATCTCTTGATCAAAAAAACTACATTCCAAAGTTGTAAAAATTCTTTGTTATACTCTTGTTAAAAGATAACTTTTAAAAACATTTTTAAACATTAAGTACGTACATTTGGGACGCACATTAATATGCTCAATTTAAAAACTTTAATAACTTCGTTAAAATAGAGCTAAAGATTCACATTTTGGTGTCATTAGGGGCAAGTCTGCTTGGTCAAACACAAACAAAACTTGAACAATCATCAACCTTGATTACCTTGAGCTCTGAGTGACCCTTCTCAAAGCCCCATAACGCGAGAAAGAAGATGAGGTACAGACAAAAAAACAATCGTACTGCTTCTTATTATAAACTGTTTTCTTAAGAAATAAAAAAATGTCTATCTTTAAGATACAAAATGATAAAGAATTCACAAAACTAATAATGATTTATAATGTATATTTCAAATGTTAGGTAAGAATTTATCTTATTTTTTCTTGTGCAGTATTAATGGCAAGCTGAGCTCTTAATTATAAGTTGCGGATCCCTCTCCGTTGCCATCCCTATACTCGTCTATCTCCCCTTTGTAAGTTCTTAGAACTATAAGCCACCATCAATTCATTAGCATTTTTAAGTTTAAAACAAAAGTTAAAACAAGCTGCTCGACGTCAGCGTTTCGCTCTGGCTCTCTCTTTCAATTTTGCAGTTCTGTCAGCTTGGTGAGCTTTTTGCGAAATTGGTTGCTGTTTTTTACTTTTTCGATTCGCTTTTTTGTTTCTTACACCTCCACACAGCTGAGCTTGGATCCATAAACGATATAAAATTATTTATATATGTTCTAGAGCCAGTAATATATGGGCTACCCTTTGTTGTTGCTGGGCAATATTGACAAATGGAAATACTGAATCGGTCGCTTATTTCGTTGCCATTTATTTTTGGCCTGGCTTAAACGAATTTAACTCTCTCCCACTCTCTTTCTCTCTGTTGCTGTTTTCTCTCCCTCTCCCTCAACCTCTCCTTCTCTTTTACGATTGCAATCATGATCTCACTCTGTTGTAGTTCTCAGTGTTTTTTGCTTTACGATATCAAATTGCTTTATTAGCCAAAAAAAGGCAAAACCGTAGCCGAGAAAAGGCTTTTTAATTCTTAGTCTTCGTTGTTTTTTCCTATGTTGTTCGATTCCATTTCTGTGATTTCTTCTTTGTCACTTTAACACTCGTTTCGAACGTGTTTTTCGGCGGTAACACGCAAGCAGTTCTATAAAATGGTAGCTTTTGATATCAATTTATCTTCAGATGAATTCGTCAAGTTGCTAAACTTTGTTGTGTCGTTAATGTTGTGGAAAATTCCGCCATGTAAACATGATTTGTGAGTTATATTTTTGTGAAAGCCAAATCCATTTCTTTAGAGGTATTTAAAAGTACATTTTTTTTAAGTATTTGCAATTTATATGATTTCAGATGTATTGTATTCAATAAATTATAATAATATACAACGAACTTTTATTTGTTTTTTTTAATTCCTATCAACGTTCCATTGGTTTCCGCTAAATCAATTGTTAGCTCCCTTTGATTTTTCCTTACAACTTCACAATTTTCTAGTTATTTTATTATTTTTTTATGGCTATCTCTTGAGCCAACAACTCAAAAAACACGTTGCAATTGGCAACTGGTTTACAGCTATGCAACGGCAAACACACACACTCGCGGCTATATCTTTATGTACACACCGTTGGGAGCGTCTAGGTAGACACAAACACCAAAGCAAACAAATGTTGCAGGTGTGTAAATGCCAATTTTTTCACTATACACGGGTATATTTTGTTAAATTTTTACATTTTTATTTTCAAGTAATTTGCGCCATTAATTGTAATCATTTGATTGGGTATTTGGATAAGCAAAAAAACAGGGATTTCGTTGTTGTATACCTTTTAGATTTTCATGCTGCTTGATTATCTTTTTTCGGATGTTGTTGCCACTTTTGTGCACTTTTTTTCACACACAAACTCGAAACAGAAAATGCCATTAATGATACGATGCTGTTGTCTTGAGCACTGGAAATTTTCGTTACGCTTTGGCAGACATTACGAGCCACGCTCCGCATCCGCGACCCCCTATCCGCATCCGCAATCCGCCAGCGATATGATGTCTATATATTGTTGTTGCTCGCGGGTGTTGCTACGGCTGCTGAAAAACTTTTGAGCGGATTGGCATTACTGGGATCGGAACTCGGACTCGTCTATCTTTGGTTACACGTAGTTTGCGACTGAGGTGAGCTGAGCGAAACTGGCGAAACACACGCCGAACTCAAAATGAAGCTGGTCCCGTCTTTTGGCCTGGCCAAGAGCCTCTCTCGCAGCCAACAAAGGCAAGAGAGAGCGGCTGCAGGCAGAGAGCTAGGTATGAGATTTTTTTGACCAAACGATCTACATGGGTGAACAGCACCATAGAGCCATGGTAAAACGATCTTGGTAATGTCGTAAACGGTATTGGTAAATTTTGTAGCATTCTATTTTAAATTATGTGTAATACGCTCTTTAATTTTTGGCTTTTCAAAAAATATTTATCACTTTAAATAATTAGGCTTAACTTAATTTGTTTTTTATCTTTTCCTTTCAACAAAGATATGAAACTATTTAAAATAATTTTTTGACTGTATTTATTTATAATTTAGGTTTGAAATTGTAGTTTTTGGTTAATTTAAAAAACAAATATTAAAAACATAAAAAATGTATTTAAACATAAGACAACAAACAAACAATTAAATACCTTCTATGGTGTTGATTAGGAAATTGACTAACAAAGATTATACAAATTTCGTATTTGCATTATGAAGCTTATATGATCAGATCAATTAACATTTTAATAAACATCTTTTTTCGAGCGTGCACCACAATTTATTTAAAAAAGGTGAAAAGAAAACCAATAAAATTTGCACGAGCCCAATGTTTAATTTACCATTAAGTGATCCAATTGATTTAAGAAAAGAAAGCACGGCAAATCTGTTTATTAAATATTTACTATCAGTGTTTACTCTTCTTCTTCTTGCTTTTGTGTTTGGATTTTTCTGCCTTCTTGGATTTTTTCTTGGATTTCAGTTTTGATTTCTTGGACTTCTTTGAGCTGGAGCTCTTGTGTGACTTCTTGAGTTTGCTGGATCTCTTGGCCTTGCCACCAGAAGAATCGGAGGATGAGGAATCAGCGCTGGAACTATCATCACTGTCCTCGCTGCTCGAGATGCTCTTCTTTTCTACCCACTTTTCGACTTTCCGTTTTTTGGGAGCATGCTCATGCCAAAGCTGCTGCAGTTTGGCATCGATGCTGGCCTCTGTCCGATCCTCTGGTGCTACAGGTTTCTGAGGAAATGCTTCTGGCAGTTTTGGCCCATATATATCCTCGGGCGGCACCTCGGCCATGGCTAATTCCTTATCGTTTCTTAGTCGCTCCTCGCGTGATTTGTACGCAATTTTTAACTTATTCCCCTCGATTGGAGCGAACTTGGGTGGAGGTGGCTCTTTGGGTGCCTGCTCCTCCTTTGGTTTGAATAGGGCTGCAAAGATTCCTCTTGGGGGCGAAGTGTTCCTAAGGACATTATGCGCTGCTGCTGAAGCTGTTGACATAGAGGGTAAGCCTAGAGCCACTTGCAGGGCAGCCAATTTATCCTGGGCAGGATCCTCTGGCGGTTGATCAACAGTCTCCTCCTCGTCACTGTCATCAAAGATGCACTTGAATAGATCCACTTTCTCTGATATGGGTTTGTCACGGGATTCGTCCACCGCCTGCTCCAAGGGAGTTTTGGGCACAAAAGTAAATTTGAATGGCTCTTCTTTTGAAGGTGGTTTTTCCGGATCATTGGTTACCGGCGGGGGAGCAGGAGGTAGAGCTGGGGGTTCCACTACTTTAGGTTTCGGCTTCTCTATGTGCTTTGGTATAATAGAGGGAGTCTGAAAGTTTGCTTTTGTGTTGATGGACGTTTCCAAATAATCGAACACCGAAATCTTCGGCTTGGTCTTGAGCTCCTTTTCGGGCTCTAGCATGGCCCCACCAAAAGGTTCCGCAATATTATAGCGCTTGCAGAGCAGTGAGGCAGGCTTCCACATGGTCTTGATCCGCTCCATCACGATTTTTCGTTCCTCTGGCGTCTTTTGTTGCTCCTTGACCTTCTCTGCCTGGACATTGCCTTCCGAAATGAATCTGTCATTCATAAGACCATCTAATGGGCGATAGATCTTTGCTGCCTGGATGAACTCCTTCTTTTCCATTTCTCGATCCCAAAGGGATAGAGTGACCGGTTGCATACTGGCGAGTAGCTCGGTTATCTCTGTGTCATCTGTTAGTTTGGAGGCCACGTATTTTTCGTAACGAAGCTGTTTGGCTTCATCAGCCAGGAATGGTTTAAAAGCGCCTGAAGATGAAGTTGCAGGAGCTAAAGGAATGGAATGGTTTTAACTATAGTTAACATTAAATAACTTCAAAATGTCTTACCCAGATCCTTGGTCTTCAGCGCAGCTTTCTCTTGTATTGCGGCATTGGATTCTTTTACCTCTTTAGTCAATTCGGTTTGCTTCTCCTCGCCACTTTCAGTGATTATTCCGCCCTTGGTGAATCCCTCAGTCCTGGCATTGATGCGATCTAGCAAGGACTTACCGCGATCCTTGAAAGGATTCCGCTTGGGCTGTTCTTCATTCGGCTTTTCCTCTTTTTTCTCTTCCCCTAGAAGCTGCGCTCGCTGATCAGGATTAAAATCGTGCCTGCCCAGACCCGAGCGCTTATACTCAGTGGCTGTCTCCAGTTTTTTCGCTCGTTCCTTGTCCATGGGAGCAAAACGACTCTTTCGCTGTAGCCAGTTTCTGGCCTGGAAATCCCTAGGCAAATCAATGGCATAGGGCTTCTGAAGAGCTGCCCCCGATTTATCCTCACTAAAGCCATCAATAACGTGACGCTGCTGGACGTGTTGCTGCTTCTTTTGCTTGGGTTTTTTGTCTGCCAGCGAAAAATCGTAGCGGGTCATATCATCGCGGGCGTAGATGTCCTCGTCCTCTTCCTCAAATGCTCCCACTCCAAAGGCCTGACCCCTTATGGAGAGCTGTTTGTTTTTAGCCTGCTCCTCCAATTGACCAAAGAGATTGATGTGCTGCATTGCTTTCGCAGAGCTAGAGGAGGACTTTGATAGGATGGGATCGCGGCTGAGGCCGGAGTAGCTCATGCCAAATCGATTCTCCTTGGGCGTGTAAAAGATGGGCTCAAAGTCATCCGGCGCAAAGGTAATATCTTCGTCGTCCTCTTCCTCAGAATTGCTATCTTCTCCATTAGACTCTGTTTGTTCAGGTAAGCCCTCTGCACCGTAGTGATCTAGGAGATACTGTTCTCTCGTGTTTCTTGCAGTGGCCTGGCGCTTTTCCTTTCGCGTTTGTCGTGGGCCCACTCCCTGGCCGGGTTTCCATCCCATGCTCTTGAGTATCCGAACAGCCACTTTGTCACGCACCGGGCGTAGAAGTTGCTCCAGCACTGGAACTCCGGGTATGGGTCCCACTCCCAATTCCGGCTGCATCAGCTTACGGCGCCGTTGCCCGGAACGTTGCTCCTGCTCATCCTCCTTAGCGAACTCATCGCGCGTGCGAATTCCTTGTGGAGCAATGCCAAATTCACCAAGATCTTCATTGTCCATAAAGTCCTCCGGTTTCAGCTGAGCCCGCGGAGTTGCCTTCTCCGCCCGCGAACTTTTGAAGGTCTGCGGCGTCCAGCCCTCCAGGGATCCCACGGTGTTCCAGAAGCCAGCACTAAAGCCGCCGGTGAAGGCGCCATGAAACCTGCGCTTTCCATTTTCATCCTTTACTATTTGATCCTCGATGCCCACAGGCTTTTTTGCCGGCACTACATCTGTTTATTTGGTTTGGAGATATTATCAAAGCTGCTGTTGACTTCTGGCCATACTTACCCTTCTCTAGCGGCTGCAACGGGGTTCCAAAGCGATGCAAATGCTCTTCCTCATCCATTTTAAGCTACAAATTCCATATATTTGCGAAACAATTTGTTTGGCCTGGGCGCCAGTGTGTGCACACCTCAAAAATAATAGAACAGCTGACTGGGCTGTCCACCTAACGGTCACAGTTTAACGGAAACCTGTAAATGCTACTTTGAAATGGTACAAAATTATATCACACATATAAGATTTTGAAATTTTATTTAGAATGTTTCAAATTTTTAATACAATTTTGTGTTTCTATCTAATTTTTACATATTACTAATTGTTCCTTTTCAATATCACTGCTGTCACGACATACAGTCGCGATATTATTTACAATCACCACAATTAGAGTTTACCTTCTCTAGTTATTTCGCACGGTCACACTGCAAACATTGCAAATATTTTAGGAAAACGATTTCGTTCCAATTTTAAGCTGCTGCAACAGAAATACAGCGCAAATGGTAAGCGTGGCGGTGGAGACAAAGAAAGGAACACCTGCCCGATTGGAAAAGCAGGTAGGTACCATGAATTTGGCTATAAAAAACAGGCAGCTACCTGAAGCCACCTGTGCTGTCTGTATGGGTGACTAATGATGTCAACATTTTCTGTTTTCTCCCTGCAAGCCGACGGCCATTTTTTGCTAGCTGAGACGTGACTGTTGGCCAGAGCAGAGGAAGTGCACCGCAGTAAGTGGGATTGGCTTCTAAGATCAGAAACCCTCTAACCTCAACTCCGTTCCCATCAAACAGCACTCATAATCATCAGTCAAACCCACATCCTGGTCACACATAAACACACGCACACATCGAGAGCGAGATGTCCGAGAAGAACCTGAAAGTGGGCGCCCGCGTCGAGCTGACCGGCAAGGATCTGCTCGGCACGGTGGCCTACGTGGGCATGACCAGCTTCGCCGTCGGCAAGTGGGTGGGCGTCGTGCTGGACGAACCAAAGGGCAAGAACAGCGGCTCCATCAAGGGCCAGCAGTACTTCCAGTGCGAGGAGAACTGCGGCATGTTCGTGCGTCCCACGCAGCTGCGTTTGCTGGAGGTGGCTCCTGGCAGCAAGCGCAGCATCGACGACGTCAGCGGTGCCACGCCCACGGCTGCCCAACCCACAAAGGCGCGGCTGAGCAGCTCTCGCACCTCGCTCTCCTCCAGTCGCCAATCACTGTTGGGTTCCCGTACCCAGTTAACTACATCTCTGAGTGAACGCACTGGCTCCAGCAGCAGCATTGGTCCTCGGAAATCCCTGCTCCCCCAAAATAGCAAGGATAAGGAAGCCTCAAGCACTTCATTGGCTGAGGGAGCAGCAGCACCAACCGGTGGCAACGGAGCCGGTTCGCATGCCTCTTCCAAGCGGGCTTCATTCGTCGAGACGGGCTTCCTAGAGATTCTCAAGCCGCAGTTTACGCCCTCGCAGCCACTGCGTTCGCCTTCCTTCACCATGCCCCTTAATTCTGGCTCTGATGATAAGACCGCCCTCTTGGAGGCGCAGAAAACGAGCGCTGAATTACAGGCCCAGCTGGCCGATCTCACCGAAAAGCTGGAAACCTTGAAGCAAAGAAGAAATGAGGATAAGGAGAGGCTGCGGGAGTTCGACAAGATGAAGATTCAGTTCGAACAGTTGCAAGAGTTTCGCACAAAGATCATGGCCGCACAGGCTTCACTACAAAAGGAACTGCAACGTGCCAAGCAGGAGGCCAAAGATGCGGTAGAGGCCAAGGAGCAGCATGCCCAGGAAATGGCAGATCTATCGGACAACGTGGAGATGATCACCCTGGATAAGGAGATGGCTGAAGAGAAGGCCGACACGCTGCAGCTGGAGCTGGAGTCTTCTAAGGAGCGTATTGAAGAGCTACAGGTTGATCTGGAACTGCTGCGCTCTGAGATGCAGAACAAGGCCGAGTCCGCCATCGGCAATATCTCAGGCGACGGCGATTCACCCGGACTCTCCACCTACGAATTTAAGCAGCTGGAGCAGCAGAACATTCGTTTAAAGGAAACGCTAGTGCGCCTGAGGGATCTCTCTGCTCATGATAAGCATGACATTCAGAAATTGAGCAAGGAGTTGGATATGAAGCGCTCCGAAGTCGCCGAATTGGAGCGCACTAAGGAGAAGCTGAGCTCCAAGATTGATGAAATGGAGGCCATAGTGGCCGACTTGCAGGTGAACATCCTAGCATTATTATTCAGTTTAAGCCCTTATCACTGCCCGCCATCAATTGGTTTTCCCACTCTTTACACTCCGATGAAAATTCACGGCTTTTCCGCACCTATTGGCTTGAGTCAGTTTCGCTTTTATTGCTTCGCTGCTTTTCGCCAGTTTCCGCTGTTAAAGATAAAGATATCGGTTAAACTTTTAATAGTTTCTTTATATTAATTTTTCATTCATAATTGTTTTTAAAAATTGATATCTAAAAAGTTTTAAAGCTTGTAAAACAAATCATATTTTGAACATAAATATTAATAGATTTGAAGCTTTTTAACTTCTAGTTAGTTTAATTTGAAGATTTAATTAAATTTTTTTAACCGATATCTTCTGTTTACATGTGTAATATATTTTGCCAAAAGTCAATCTAAAGATACAATTTTCCATTGCCTTTCTTTTTGCCGGCCTGCCTTAAAACTTAATGATTAACGGGGTCCAAGGAGGTAAATCGTGTATATTGTAAACATTTCCCCAAACAAAATTTTTAACATTTCCTTAACCGTTTCGAACTTGAATTAATTTAAAACGAGCAATATTTAAAAACTTTCCTTTATCCCAGGAACAAGTCGATGCTGCACTAGGAGCCGAAGAAATGGTGGAACAGCTGGCCGAGAAGAAAATGGAGCTGGAAGATAAGGTAAAGTTGCTCGAGGAAGAGATCGCCCAATTGGAAGCTCTGGAGGAGGTTCACGAACAGCTGGTGGAGAGCAATCATGAACTGGAGCTGGATCTGCGCGAGGAACTGGATCTGGCCAATGGAGCCAAGAAGGAGGTGCTGCGCGAGCGAGATGCGGCTATCGAGACCATATACGATCGCGATCAGACCATCACAAAGTTTAGGGAACTGGTGCAAAAGCTGAACGACCAACTTACCGATTTGCGAGATCGCAATTCCAGCAACGAAAAGGAGTCGTTGCAGGACCCCAGCTTGAAACTGGCCACCGAAACTATCGACTACAAGCAGATGTTCGCCGAGTCAAAGGCCTACACACGCGCCATCGACGTTCAACTGCGACAAATCGAGCTCAGTCAGGCCAACGAGCATGTCCAGATGCTGACCGCCTTCATGCCAGAATCATTCATGAGTCGCGGCGGCGATCACGACTCCATCCTGGTGGTGCTGCTCATTTCACGCATTGTCTTCAAATGCGGCATTGTGGTTTCGCAGACAAGGGAACGTTTCCCAGCCGTGGAGGCGATCACCAGGGAGGCAGTCACCCAGGGCCATGCCGTCCAGCAGTATGCCTTCAAGTGCCGCCTGCTGCACTACGTCCACAGCCTGCAATGTGCCCTGCACCAGATCCTCTACGGACTCAATAGCTGCCAACCGGATACGCTCCTGAGAGCCGGAAGCTCCCTTCCCGAAATGGTGGCTCAAGAAAAGATTGTGGATGGCATCATCGAACTGCTGAAATCCAACCAGCTGGACGAGAACAGCACCACGGATAATATTGAGAAATGTGTGGCCTTCTTTAATGCCATGAACTCTGTTTTGCTAGCCGGCGAGCAGCTCCTGAACGAGATTCAAATGATCCGCGACTGCGTGGCTTCCTTGGGAGCAGCTTGTGAGAGCATTCTCAGCGATACGGCCATCGCCAAGGTGATTATCCAGGAGGCTGGTGCCACCAGCGACTCGGTGCTGTTGATCCAGTTCCTGAACGAGAACATGGAGAGTGTGCGGCAGCAAGTGAAGCTGATCAAGCGCCGTTTACCCAGCGACCAACACGTGATCAAGAGCGGTCTCTCGCAGCACAAAGTGGAGGCCATGCGTGGTCTCGCCCAAAACATCAGTCGCATCATGTCGGCGATGCACCAGGCGACTAAGCAATCACTGGCCGCCATTGTCACCACCATCGAGAGCGACAATGCAGCAGAGCACACGCTGCCCCAGGAGAAATACTGGGCCCTTCTGTCCGCATCCTGCGAGCGCATCTACGAGCAGGATGACCGCGGACCAACGCACAACTTTAAGGCCTTGCTGGCACAAGCTAACTCCGACTTGCAGCACATTGCCCAGCACCTGCTGGACAAGGAGTACGAGATTATTTCGGCCGCCAACAATGCTGGTGGTCAACAGAAATCGGGTGCCCACAGCACGCCCATCACTCAGCGGGCGCAGTTGATCAAGAAACAGCTGGAGCAGAAGAACGTGCTGGCCGCCACGCTGGAGAATCGCGAGGCGGACGTCAAACAGCTGAAGCTGGCCGCCAAGATGAAGCAGAACGAGCTAAGTGAGATGCAGATCCGCAAGGACCTCGCCGAGAAGAAGCTGAGCGTTCTGCAAAACGAATACGAGCACGCGGTGGACAAGTGGAAAATGCAGTACGAGGACACGCGCCAGCAGCTGCAGCTCAAGGAGAAGGAGTTCGAGGAGACGATGGATCATCTGCAGAACGATATAGATGCCCTGGAGAGCGAGAAGAGCGATCTGCGCGACAAGTTGAAGCTGAACTCGAACACGGGCAAGGTACAGTCCGGCTCAGATTCCCACTCCCCGCACAATCTTTCGGCCGCTGGCTCCACGTCCAGTGCACCAGGCATCATTAATGTCTCCTACTCTGCGCCCGCGGGCACTGCTCCAGTGGTGGCCGAGGAGGTGCAGCTGCTGAAGAACGCCTTCAACCAGGAGCGCAACGAGCGACTGCGTCTGCAGGCTCAGGATATGCGTGCCAAGCTGTCGCAGTTTGAACCCCTGCATGTGCCGCAGCCACAGGATCAGCGCATCACCGCCTTGGAGTCGGAGCTGACTAGGATGAAGCACGCCTGGGTATTGTCCCTGCTTCAGGTGCGCTCCCAGGACTCGGTGAATGCGGGAACACGCATCAACACGGTGGCAATGCAAAGGCGCCATCAGCCCGTTCCGCTCAAGGGTGAGATCAGTTCGAGGGCCTCCCAGCTGGCCTCCGACATCCTAACGGAGTATCTGCATCGGAAGCCACATCGCGCGGATCACGGTCAGTTCGCCTCTTTTCCCACCGTCGATGTGAAGCGTGTGCTGCAGATATGAATCGGGTTTATCATGGTAATCGGATCGGGGCCAGGGGCAATCTGAATAGCATATAGTTTTATTTGTACTGCTAGCACAATTTCGGATCGGGGACATTCTTTCCTCGCACAAGCAGCTTCCCTCTAAACCCAAAATCGCAACTCCTCAAGACTCCCCGCTCCTGTGATGAGACCTAAACATGATAGCTAAACAAAAAGCAACTAAGAAATTATAATTCTACACTTAATTTATGTTTTTTGTATAAAGATTATATATTGTAATACTAACTTTGTGTTTAACTCCAAAAAAGCCTGTTCTGAAACTAAACTCAAGCGAACTAATACCGGTATTATCTATCAAATATGTGGCAGGAGATAAACTATGTGAAAGACACAACTAAACCAGAGAAACAAATCTAATTTGCATAAATGAGAATAATGAATACATTATACATATATAAAGTAAATATATTTTGCTGATGTTGTATAACTTAAAATATGAGTGACTTTTAATGGAGAATGATTGGGGTAAGGATATCTAAAACTTAAAAAGGTGTATTTTTAAAAAATGCATTTGTATCTATGATTTTGTGTTTGGGGGAGTATATAAAAAAAAAACTCTAAATATAACTATTTATTTGTAATATTGGTGTAAAATAAAAAGGGCCAATTTCAATGCCTTGTGCCAAAGAATAAGTATCTGAATCTGTATCTGTAACCGATATAAAATATGATAGTACTTATAGGTTCATTACAAGGAACTTAAAATAAGAACAGAAGAGATATAATAATATCCATGCTTAAATCCAAACTAAGTACCATCAAGTTAAATATAATTACACAGACATTTTCCATCACTTTATGAGTTTAAAGTTCTCTCCCTAAGCAAAATGAGGTTTTCATTTCACATCATTCAAGCTAATTTTACTAATTTAATTTAATCACAATTTTGAAGAGCTCAGTTAAATTTTCTAGATCCAACTGGAAGGCGTTTAAGCCAAGCAAAGAACCATAAACAAACATGCGATCCAATTAGAGTCCACTTGCTATCCACCCGCGCAAAGAGATCCGTGCTCTCTTAGCTCCGAAACTCAATCTCTTTGACCCGCTCTCTCGCTTCCGTCCGCTTGGCCAACAAAAACAACAACAAAAGGCAATATGCTTCAATGCCGCTCGGTTGCAGCAACAACAATTGCTGCCAGCAGCAGCAACAAAAACGGTGTAAGCAATGACAACAACAGCTGCAATAGCAAGAAACTATTACATTAGACCAGGCCATAAACCATGATGGCCAAAATAGCCCTCCTCTGCCGTCCCGCCCCCGCTGTCCACTCAACAACCCCTTCTGCTTGAAATGTAAATTGAAAATAATTTTAATTTTCTGGGCTTTTCCTTGGCATCGCCACTGCCCTTTTGGCTGACCGGACCAGAAATTGCTGCTTCTTTTGACCCCATTTTGTGGCTTGACCTCTCGAGCTGAGCTCATCCTATGGTGAAGGATGATTTATGCCAGGAAAAACTTAGATTTAAAGTGAAAAATAATTCTTAGTTTTATACATTTTGCATTAGTGCTCTTAAAATTTCAGACAACATCTCACCTTTCCAAGAAAGCTGTAGCATATAGTCGTCCAATTTGGTAATAAAAATATAAAACATACATATTTTAAAACAACGAACATTTTTGAGGTCTTTATAATGTATTTTTTAAGTTTTTTTTTCTAATATTCTTTTTAACAGCAATAGTTTAAGCTACATATCCTTAGAAACAAACATTTCTTTATGAGATTTTGTAAAACTTGGAATAGATTCAGGACGTTATCTATTAAACCAAGCGAGTAAAATAATAAACATATTTTAGTGGATATTTCATAAACGCGGCTCTATTTATCTTTATTATTCGAACAACTGTTACCTTTAAATTAAAAAAAAAACAGAAAAGTGCTGGTTTTTCCATCAAAAAAATCGTCGAACAACTAAATTAGCTCCCAAGCGATCTGATTGCTGTACATTTTATGGAGCGGCTTCTGATGTGTGTCGCCTTGGTTCCGGACCCCATCGGGCCAAAAAGCCATTCTCACGCCCAGCTCTCGGCCAGTTGCTGACCTTTTTACGGTAGTTTGTTCGCCTGCCTTTTCGTTTATGGCCTGCCACTGGGTTTGGTAACACAATTGGTGTTTACTTTTTGGGCCCGAAAAATGTGGTGCAGAAACGGTGAACGCAACAGGCGGCATAAAGCCGGACTTCTCGCTCTGGTTGCACCGACCGCCAAAGTGACAGATCCTTCACCAAGTCACCAGACCAGCGTTCCACTGTCACTGACACACATATCTGGTAACGTAACTATTCTTCTCCAGCCCCAGTTCCACTTCCAGTTGTTCTGTGGCCGCAGAAACCAAAACTTTTGACCATAAAGTGCCCGGTAATGCCCCAACTTGTTGCTGTTGACTCATGCCGAGCGCTAAAAACAACATAATTATTGTACATATTAAAAACCTGATGCATGTTGCACTATATTTTTGTTGAAGCGGAATGTTGTATGCCCTTAAATCGTATAAATAATAACAAAGGAAACTAACATTTAAACATGTTAAATACTTTTTAAGTTTAAGTCAATGCCAGTTAAATATATATGATCTTTTTTCAATGGGAAAAAAACAAAACAAATATTACAAACAAATTTAGATGGTCTTAATTTTGTCTGTGATTAAAATAAATATTGTTTTGGGATAGGAAAGTTATTGTTCTATTGTAAAACTGTTTAATATATTAATAAAACACCTTTAGCTTTTTCTATTTTTAAAAAATTGGTTACTGCTTACACATTGAAATATTTAGATATACACTTTGGCTAAGTTTTTATGCTTGCTTAAATTATTCTAAAATAACCTTTAATACTGAATAAGTTTCTTTAGATTTTTTTGTTATTCGCTTAACTCTTTCAAGTGTAACGCCCTTCGTGGCCATTTGGAAATCTACTGTCCTTTAAAAATAACTTGAAAAAAGTGACATCAACATGCCAGAATAGTTAATCAACATCCCATAAGAGCAAGGCAAAAAAACAACAGAAATAATTAAAGAAAAAACTGCGATACAATGCAGAGCAAGAGCAAGACTGAAACCAGTTTAGGTGGGGTATGCACTGCTACTGCTATAGTACGGATTGGTGAGGTACCCCCTAGATGGATGAATGGATGGATGGTTGGAGCCCGGACCCCAACAAGAGCGAGAGTGTAAGACAATAAAGCAGCTCAAGAACACTCGATTGCAGGTGAACAACCAACTGAAGAATTGAAGAATGGAAACCGGAGATGAAAATAGCCACGAAGAATTCCACACAGATGCCGCACAAATGTTCAAGGAACCCAAACCCCAAAACCCTTCCTCATTAGGCACTCCAGCAAAAAACTATAGATCGATCTGCGGCGGAAGCACGGAAGTTTCACTCGTGGTTAGGAAAACCAGGTAAAACACAAAAAATTAGTTACGCCTGGTTAGGCCACCATCCGAAAGCTCAATTTGGCCAAATGGCCAAACAGTAGCCCATACAGTGGCCAACATAAACAAGCGGCCACGCAACATCAGCATTATGGACGGATCTGGAGGCGGAGATGGAGATGGAGATGGAAATGGCCACCAAGAACAATGGTCTGGTGTCGGTCTGAAGCTCATCTTCATCTTCACTTGGCCCGGCTACTTGAGTTTCTTATTGTGCATGTTGTTTGCCGAAGGGGGGCAGAGGAAATGGGGCTGGCAAGACTCTGATTTGGTCTAGTACCACGCACTAGACGGTCTGACCATGTCTACCTTCCCCTTTAGAAATATTCCTCACTTGTTACACTGAAACAAAACTAGGTCGGCAAAGTATACAGATACATGAAAAAGTTACACAAGTGATTTATTTCTATAGGATTTAGAGAGTTTTTCGGAAACAAAAAGGTGGATAATCTTAAAAAAAATATTAAAAAAATATTAAAGAATTAAATGGATTTCAGTTACTGGTTAGGTGTCATGAAAAAATTGCAATTCTTGGGATTTCTAAAATGTACCCAAATATTTCTAAACAAAAATATTTTTTTTTGGAAACAAGGGAAATTCTGCCTAAATTAAGACCGAGGTCTGGGTTGTATTACAACTTCTTCGCTAAAAACAATTCTTTAAAAAATTATTGGTCATAAATTTCAATAGAGAACTATTTATTTTGTGTTGTTTTCTTTCTAATTCCAAAATTAGCAATACCGGAAATAGATTTGGTGTGGCTAATAAGTGTCTGCGTTTTAAAAAGGTCGCTTATAAAAAATCTTTTATCTTAAGGATTTTAGGAAATAAACGTTTTTATTAGTGTACATCCATTGTTATTGCCATTCTTATGTGCCCATTGTTTGTGTTCTTGCCGTATGTAAATTTTGCATTGAAATGTGTACATTCGGGTACATGTGTGTATGCACGTCTTGGTTTTTGGAGGTCCAGGTCTCTGGCCCCCTCTTGCCCCCCTTTGAACCCCACCCCCTCCTCAATACCCCTGCCCTCTGCCACTCCGTTCAATTGTTGTTCACTTGGCCGCTTTCGTAAGTCAGTCTCAATGCAAAACAAACGGCGAAGAGCAGTCAAGAGATGGGAGAACAAACCAAGCATGTGTTGGCTAAGAGAAAGCGACTGCGAGGCCGAATCAAACGTATGCCAGTTAATAGGGAAGTCGGAGCAAGAGAGCGCTCCAAGTGGAGCTTACCTTTGTAGCTGTGTTATGGTTTTACCAGAGTTGTCGAGGTTGCCAATTAGGGGAAAATATTACTACTTAATATTTAAGATAGTTAATATTTTGGGAATATCGCATGCTACCAGTTAGATAAATGACCCTTAAAAAAATAACATGGGACTATACAATCCACAAAAAACATGTACATATATAAAGGACAGCTTTTCAGAGGGTTTTATGAGGACGATTTGCATTTCTTATTAAGTCGGTGTTATTAAATTCTTTGAATAGTTATTATAGTTACATTTTATAATGGACAAAAAATAAAATCAATTTATAAAGCTGTTAGAATACCCATAATAATCTTGACATTTCGTTTAATTTAGATTTAGTTATCAGTTAGTGAACTGAAAATTTGGTACTAAACTGAGCATTGACTAAAAAAGATAACTAATACCAGAGTTAACTATCAGTTATCTGTACCCCCGCAGATTGCACTTTAATATCGCTATCTTAGTTGCCTTGTAACCAATAACATTACCCCACTGCAATAATCTTATCTACCAATACTGCGATTACTCGACTACCCTGCCGAAACTCTCGTAACTCTCTTTTTTTGGCCTGAAACTTAAGAGAGCCATCGACGTTGTTGGTTGTTGTTGCCAAGATACGAGGCTTAGCCTCGTCGGCCGCCGTCGCTTGGTTACTCATTTGTTTTGCCAATTTTCGTAGCACAGCACAGCGCTTCAGTTATTCAGTTAGTAACGAACGTTCGCGTAAGTCAGACGTATCCGCCACGCCCCCGCGCCGCCCATCGCCCAGAAAAGCTGGGGAAAGCCAGAAAATCGTAACCGAAGCGAAGCGAGCGCGCGTTATACGGAATCGGAATCGGAATTGGAATCGGCATCGGAGAATCCGAATCTGAAAAGCGGAGAATCGGACATCGGAAGTTCTGCTTTGGAGTGGAGTGGAGTGGAGCAGCGTCGTCGTGACCGAGGTTTCTGCCCTCATACATATACGGATAACTATATATATTTAACACAAAAATATAGGGCCAGACTTTACCTCTGCAAGCGTTTGCGAAAGTGGAAAGTATCTGATGGATACTTGGATACTTTCCGTTTGGGGGAATTAATTAGACCAATATCCCATGCAAGGCGCGCATTTAGTTTTGTTGTTTTGTCAATAATAATAATGCCAAACTCTGGCCAAAAACCGACATATATAAAGCGGAAATGCAAAACAATAATACCAACAACAACTGGAACAAAAACGAATGTGTGTGTATTTGTGAACTGTGACTGTGTTGCTTCCAAAAAAAAACGAATAATATAAGATAAACACAAAAAGCACATAAATAAATAAATAAATGTTGGCTAAAAGCTTAGCCCGAAGCGTATTATATATTATAACAACAGTTGCTGTTGCTACCAAATGCAGCAAAGCGTGAAGTGCTTGCCAAATGAATTTTCTATATAACAAATGCGAAACTACTAAAAAAGATATACAAAAATCAGTGAGCAATTTTAACTAAAAATTATACCGAGATTTGTGGACTTTAAGTGATTTGCATACACATGCCTTCGATTTGCCAATGAAGCTTTAAATAGCATTTAATCACTTTTGTATATATGTGGGAAATTTTAAGTTGGACCATCCGCATTTACTAAAGCTACCTCTGTAAATTACCACTTAATCCACTTAAAATTAATTCCCTTACAATCCTTTGGCTTGGATATTTGGATAACTTGGATAACTTATAGTTTTATTTAATCACTTCAAATAATCTAAGCCTTAAACCATTTCAATTAACACTTTTTGATAATAACCCACCCTTGAGCAGTGAAAATTCCCCAACATTTTGTATATATATTCCCGCATGTAAATACACCCCGAATCGACAAGAAACTTAAACCCTGCTTGATACTCAGACCGCATGAAGCTTAACTAAATGCGAACTAAAGACGGGCTAAAGACGAATTCCGTTTATATTAACCCTCTTGCTTAACACTGTAGTTATATGTCATCCCCCCCTGCCCAAAAAGCACCCCCTAACCCAACAAAAATTAAAACGAAAAAACCCAAGAAACAAGTAACTGAAAACGTGCTGGCAAATGCTCAACGTGACCGTCGCTCCTTTTGGTTGATGATTAGACCCGTCTTGTTGGGCACATTATACCCATACCACATTTAATGCTAATTCTCATTACGGCCGTGTACTTACCATATCTATATCTAACTGAAATCAACTGCAGCTCAAACATCAGTCGCTTTAACCCACTCGATTCGGGCTGCTCTTTTGGGGGCAGCTGGTGCCCATGGAACTATGCTTCGGATATATCATCGTATCGCCGCGCCAGTTAAAGCTAATACTTCGACCTGACCAGAGTCATCTGAATACCTAACCTACGAAAATAACTAAAAGTTCAAAACTGAAAACAAATTGCATCTAACTTACTATGTGTGTGTTATGTCTGTAAATTTGGTTCGTTGTTATTGCCCGTAATACCACACACCACCACACCACACCCCGCCTGAAAAAAAAAAAACAAATACAAATCCAAATCCAAGCCTGCCCGCTAACGATCATGCATAAACCAAAGCTAGGGAATGCTATAACCGCTGCCGCCATTGCCTCATCCATATCCACCAACAACAACAGTGGCAGCAGCAGCAGCAGCTCCAGTAACAACAACAAGTCGAAGCGAGCCCGTCAGTTTGGCCAACACAACAACAGCTCACTTGGAGCTGGTGGCCTGGGTCTTGGCCTGGGGTTGGGGCTCCTCCGGCCGGACGACTCCGGCTTCGACCACCTCGACCACTCGTCACTAATTGCGGATTCGATTGATTTAGAGCACTACATCAGCGCCATGGAGGCCCGTCGACACGACCAGGAGCCGGATGTGTGGGCCCAGCTGCAGCAGAAGGAGTCGGACATCCTGCTGGCCGCCGAACTGGGCAAGGCACTGCTCGAGAAGAACGAGGAGCTGGTGAAGCAGCAGGAGAAGCTCATCGAGGACTATTCGACCAAAATCGAGGTGAGTCACCACGCAAATTTTGATGTAATACCCCAAGGGCTATACAAATTAACAGGTGGAATTCCCATTACAATTGTTAGGCAACGAAAATAATACAAGTTCGTATGGAAAAGAACAGAACCACTTTCTGCCATGAAAATAGTCTTAATTGTACAGAACTTTAATTATTGCATTTGAGTGTAAATGGAAATAGACTCGATTGCCTGTTAAACTAATTAGACCTTTAGGGACTTCGATTGAGGGCAATTATAGTTTTTAATCGCTTGAAACTTTATTCGTATAGGTTAAAAAGGTAACATTAAAAATTATGTAACTTGTTTAAAAGGTGTATTATTATCTTCTGAATATTATACATCATTTTTGAGGATCAAGTTATAGAAATTAAATATTAATATATTTTTATAGATATTATTTTTTGGTTAGTTTTGAACTAAATATAATTAAATATATTTAAAGTCTAAGCACTCATTCCCTTAATTTGACGTTTCTCTGCTAACAAATGGAATATTTTCATCTTTGCTTATATTTCTACACTATCTGATTTGGCAAGTGTGCGCAATAAATAAAATAATTACTTTCCTGCTATCTATACAGCAGTTATTCTTTCCACTTTAGAAGTAAACAGAGCTTAAGAGTGTTTCATTTTATTTATTGCTTAAGTAAAATTTAAAAACAGTTCTTTTTTATTTGAATAAAAGCTTTGAGCTTCTTTCATATCGTCCTGAAATACTATATATCTACCAACTAGCTTATCGCTTTTGTTAGGTGCTTTTGTACTTATTAAATGGGAAACGCCAGTTTCTGAATTTTGATTGACTCACCTGGTGATTTGCATTGATTATTGCAGACATGTGTCCGTAAGTGTCTGGAAAACGACCTCTCATCGACGCATTGCTCGCATTCCCAGGTCGGGAATTAAATAATACATATGGATATTGATTTTTTAGCTGAAACACGGCACCTGTCCGCATGTCCAATGCAGCTCTGTAAACTCAACTTCTCCCCAACTGTCAACTGCAATTGAATGACAGAAGAGGGAAAAAAGGTGAACGGGCACGATAACTATTTAGACAAACGAAAATGGCTGGGACAACTATCCCGGTCATGTCATTTTCTGGACGGTGACAAAGTGTGCGCAGTAAACTACTGAACTATATAGTATATCACGTAAGGGTATCGATTTTTTCTCGCTGTCTACCACCTCTACTCACGTTCTACAGTAAATATTATGTATGAAATAGCTGCAGCTCTTCTGGAGTCTCTCCAAAAATTAGCCTTATCAAGCACTTTTATGATAACAGGGCAGCAAAAGCAAAGTCTGTTCATAACACTGCCTAATGTTTCAGTCTGCTGCTCGACCTTGAACCGCTCTAATGGGTGTTTTATGTGGGTGGGGTGCGGTTCCTTCACCTGTCACCTGTTCATACACAAACACAAGTTTCAGGCAACTGACAATAGAAAGAAATTCCGATAGGTAAACACCCGTTCCAGTTATCTCCCCAAGTGAAGTTCAAGCCGCGGCTCAAGTTCGTGGCCGTTCATTAGCATTATTGCTAGCAACGACGACATTCCCTCAAACTTCCCTCGATTTCCTCGCTTTTCCAGCACAGCAGAACCGATAGTTAGGCTAATGTACTTTTGTTGACCGAACCACCTACACATTGTATTCTTATCAATTACGCTCCCGCCGACCGATTAATGGCAATTCAATGCACGGAAATACCAGGAAGTGCTGGGATGGTTGTGATGGTTGGGTACCGGGACCACCCGTTGGTGTCAGTAACCCAAACTGTCCTCTGTTCAATGCGTTGAACTTGAATAATTTCGTTGGTACATATGGGCCATATTTACGTAGTTCGCTTACTCACTTGGACTGAATTTTTGTATTCTCCTTTTTTTCTTTTGCCTTTTTTTTTATTTTTAAGCGCATTGTTGGAGTGACTTCATCTTCATTTGGAAATGAAAGTGCGAAGGCCAATTGCTGGGTCTGGCCGCGTAATATCCTGGTATTACAGATGATGTCATTCGTTGGGAATCGATGTGATAATTTTCACTAGTTTGAAAATGCAAATATTCAAAGGTTTAGTCGAAGTCACATAAATCTCTAAAGTGTCAAGTGCCAAAACGTGGGGGTTGAAATATACAAAAAATAAAAAAAAACATAAAAGAGTAATTTAACCAAATAAAATCAAGTAAATACTTTTCTTAAGTAATAATTTATTTTATGTGATTGAATCACTTGATAGTGGTACTAACAATGACAAAATTCAATCGACATAAGTTTATAGTTTTTTCAATGCTTGGTTCTACATTATATGTATTAGTAACCTTTTAAGAAACCCAAAAACCAACCGATAGAACTTAAATCTTAATTCATTTCCAATAAATGCTGTCCTAATTCACCCATATTCCCATAATGAAATTGGTTTTCTCGTTTAAAATATTTCAAAACCATTAACAATGTAAATTAAAATCATTCGCCACCACAGAAGCCATTAACTTCAATTAAAACCCCAAAAGCAAGGAATTCCCATGTTCCATTTTCCATCTGCCATTAAATGGAAATCGCTTTAGCTTAATGAAATTGGACCGGACCAAAAAGGTCAACTCCTGACAGTTGGCCAGCGTCAATTGTCATTTTAATTATTTTGTTAGTTTTTTTAGTCATGGTCATCGCTTAGGGAATTCTGCCGTGGGGCTGCGGCATAAATCTCTTGGATTTAGTCACCTTGACTTTACCTTTTTAGTCTTTGTTTAGCAAGTGACGTGAGGCGTCTGCCAAAAGCCACATTTTCGTTAGATTCACTTTTATTTGCGTGTTTTTGGCAATATGCAAAATTGTTGTTCGCGTATCTAATTAATTTCTTCAACGTTTTGGAGCGCACAATGTCACTTCGTTGGCTGGATGAGCGGTCAGCTAAAACAGGCCCATCCCAAACGAATACTATATAGTATATACAATATATATACTTTGAGTCCGGTCTGTGGCTGACTGACGTAATTAGACTGCTCTGTTGTAGGTGTTTGGTTTGGTTTGGTTCTGGCCAAAATGGTTGTAGTTTTGGCCGGGGTTGTTGTTATTGCCGTGGTCCGAAGCTCGCCCATTTTTTTATTTCGCGGTCTGTTGAAGCGTGTGTGCCAATTTACGAGCATTGGCTTTATTTTTAGCTCCGATTTGTTTTTGCATTAACTTTTATATACGCCATAATATAATATATGTTCTGTGCCCTATTCCCAAATGCTAATGAGTTCAGAGGCCTTGATTTGGTGTTGAACAGTTTTAGGGCTTTTTGAAAAGAGAGAAGAGGGAAAATAGATCCTGTTGAAATACAATCAAGTATTTACTTTATTGATATAACTGTTATCACCTTATAAACGGAATCCCACACTTTTCAACCTCTTTAATCTCGGTTGAAACAGCTTTAACTATAAATAGCCAGGTGTGATATGTTCTCAGCCATATTTTATATTGTTTAAGACTTCTTCCAAGCCCACTCCATATTATCTAGTTCACAGACAATCGACCGAATAGTTGACCATTGTCTGACTACCAAAACGTGTTTGCTTCGCCCAGGTTCGACAGCAAGCCCAGTTTCAACTCTCGAGCCGAGGAGAACAATTGAGTGGAAATCAATTGGAATCTGGCGTCTTATTGTAGTTCGCTTTAAGTCGCTCGTTTATCACGATCTGCAGACAATTGTTGCTATTACTGGTTAGGAAACTTAAACCCAACTTGGGACGACGAAGTGTTGCAAATGGCAGCCGAAAGTAAAATATATAATTTGGAACGTAGGCGTCTGTTACGGTTAGGCATTTAAATAATTCAAACTCCTATCGGCTATGCCCCCTTTGGCCTTTTCGAAAGTCTACACCCCTGAACGATCGGGTTTTATGGCTTTAATAACTTTTGTTGTTTGGTTTTTATTTATTTCTGACATTGACCAACTGGTTTTAGTAATTTATTTAAGAGCTCTCAGTAGAACGGCCAGAGTCACAATCGATGGCAATTTGTTCTTTGATCAATACGATATTAAATTGAAACTTTCAGCCGTTTCCCCGATCAAAGAATGCTAATGAAAAGGTAATTCCATTTAAACGTTCTTTGATTAGCCTTGATGGCTGTAAGTTGAAGTCTTTCTGTAAACAGGATATGCTCAATCATAGAAAATGGAAGTGAAGAACTATGATTTGTGGTAAAAGAAAGGAAATGCTGCGGTTCTGATAGATGATGAATAACTGATTGATAGAAAATACACATACCAAACGGTGTTTCCCTGAAAGAGGAAACTATTCGAGAGCTAAACTATTAATTGTATTAAACATTTAAAAAAATAAACTTAAGCTATAAATTACAAAGGAAATACAATTATGCAAATAAAAAGTAGCTGAGGTGAATGAAAAAATCAGTGAATCAAAAACCCCAAAACCCACTGTGTTATATAAACTTGAAGAATTCAAGATACCATTTGCTGTTTATTTGTTTTCCTTATTTCTATAATTATTTCTTACTCAATCGCAATTTGTATAATATTAAAGTATATAATGAAATTAAATAAATAATTACAATAAACTAAAACGAAGTCTCAAAAAATAAATTTCCCTTTGTGTAATTTTCGTAAGTTATAATTATAATTAAATTTATATTTATATTTATTTGTCTACCAATCCACATGAATCATGCAAATGAGCGTATCTTCCGCCTTTCGATCGAGTCCCACGCCCACAATGGCCATCGTCTCACTCAACTGACCACGCCAGGTGGGCGGACTTCTCGAGGCGCCCAAGAACACTTTATACCATAATGGTTACCACTCAATCTAAACCACCTACTGGACGCCTACTTCATCCAGAGTTAGATAACCAAACGCGTTCTACATGCGAATGCGAATAAAAAAGTTCAATCAGGGGGCCCCAAAAAGTAAAAATATAAAGTGATAAAATATCAAAATAAAACTCTCCTCACGTTCGCTGATCAATTTGTTTTTGTTTTTGGTTTGAGG